AGGTATAATGGGTCGTCACTCCATGTTTTTGAAAACCAAAAAATGTGTATTTTATAGCACACTTTTAGGATCATCTTTCAAAAAAATGGAGAGAAGACCCACCCATATTGAAAAATTTTGTTTAAGTATGAGAAAATGATTGTTTTTGTTCTTTTTAGTGTGAAAGCATTTTCATAAGCAAATATTTTCAGTCTTTGTGAGATGTTTGTAAATTGTAGAGATTTTACATAAAGTATACTTTAATATTAGTTGAAATATCAAGTAAAATTTGGATTCAGTTAAGATTAAAATTTTCACTTAATATTTGTCGCACTATAGGCATTGTGCCCGCCTTATTCACCCATCTTCTTTGATTTTACAGTCTAAGGTTCCTATGTCAGAGGCTTTGCTGGAGGATATGATTCTCTCCCTTGACATGGATTATGACAATAATTTAGATTATAAAGAACTGTCAAAAGGCTTGTCATTTTGGAAACGAGAGAGGAGGGAAAATCGCAGAAAGCAGATTTCAAGAGAATCTACCATGGATTCTCTAAAGTCGAGATCTAGTAAGTGTCAAGTTTAAATTTCTGATTATTCAGGAACCCTAACACAAATCAAATGGATTGGATGTTTTTGATTTTGTAAGCTGTACTAAATCCAGGATTGTCTGATGTAAAATTTGTATGCTGAGAATAATTTATGTGTATTCCCACTCAGTATTTACAAAATAGCTGCTATATCTGAGTGATGATAATAATTTTATAACAGTTGTCCATTTATTCATTACAGGTTCATCAACATCATTACCTGCTGCCAATCCTAACTCATCAGAGGAGACGGTAGATGAGAATCAAGACGATGAAAAAATCATTAGAAACTTCTCACCAAGTCGGTCAAACCATGACGTCCATTCAAAACCTTCCAAAACCTCTAATAGTCCTTCCCAATGTACATCCAGAAAATCTGCAAGGTCCTCCAGCAAGTCTGAGGACAAGCCTGAAAAACCCTCTACCGATAGGACACAGGGCTCCTCAAAACAAGGGACTGACTCAAAATTGGAAAAACAAGACTCAGCCTTGGGAGGAGGAGATAATGACAGTAAGGGGAAGCAAGTGAATATTGAAATAGAAATTACTGACACCTCAAAGGTAGAATCGAAGGCAGATCCCAAAAGAAGTAGGAGCACCACCCCTCAGTATCTGTCTCCCCCCGAGCTTGACACGGGGCCGGAACACATCGTGTTATCATCAGAGGAAGCCATGGTGGACCTGAGGAAAAGGGACAGGGAAGCTCTCAAAACCAACATGATGAGAATGGTTAGCATTAATACTGAAACAAATTTTTAGTAAAAAAGATATTCAGGATGCTAACTGTTGAGTTATAAGCTCAAATTGGTGCTTAAAATTTCAGTTGATGTCGTTTAAAATCACATTATTATGATTGACTATTAAATCAACATAATAGTTTATATATCAAATTTTGGAGCTATAAATATTTTGTTTGAATATCCCTATCATTTATAAAATCATTTTTGTGTTTGAAATGTTTGATCTTTATACACATTGATTATATGTTTTATATACCATGATTCCCTTTGGAACAAATGAGTTTAAGTGGTTTTCTTGCTGAGATCTAGATTCAATTCTTAACAGTCTGATTAGGTTACTTTGAAACTTTCATTTTGACCTTTAAAGAAATTTGTAAAATAATTTGATTATGAATCTTAAATACATTTTGTACTTGACACTTCAAAATTCTCTCTTTGCAGAGAAAAGCTATTTAATTTTTTGTATGAGTTATTCTAGTTGTATTAAACTAAGAGTTTTCCCGATTGCAGTCAGCCAAGAGGTTAGAGGAGGGGCCAGGCATCATTAAGGTGGGGGATAAGGCTATAGATGACCACTGTATGCAGTCCACGCTGGAGGGGGAAATGGCGGGGATGGTCGATAAGTTTAGACAGCTCAAGCTCAGAGAGTTCTATGAAGTTAACAAGCTATGTTCCCAACAAGGAATTGCACTCAGTCCTTCTTTACTAGAAAAAGGTATAAGTGCTTAAAATTTTGAAATTGGATTAATAAGAATTTTCAAGTACATTTATTATAGACTGAATCGATGTTATACTAGTTTTTAAATTTTGCCAATTCCTGTGCATGTCATATGTTTTCAGAAGCTTTAGGCCTTAAGTTTTATTAAGAGATATTCGAAACACTTCAAGCCTAAGCTAAACTTAATAATAAAAAAAAGCCATTCTTTTAATTTCTTTAAAAGAATATTAACCATTACGTAAGATTCTCTTTGAATTATAATATCTCCTGTTGTTGGTTTTTCAGTTCTGTTGTACCCTCCGGATATCCCACACACCTTTATCAATAAACAAGTCAAGACCCCAGGGGCGCCCCTTCTCTCCAGTCACTATGCAGATCCCCCAAAGAGGCCCCGGACCCCCATAGAGGTCAAACACAAGGACCGTGTGAGGCGGTCACAGAGTGGTCGACTTCTGATAGACAGCCGTCACCGCTACCCCCAGGGTCGCTCCGTGGCACCCACAGGCACCAGGGCCACCCTGTCTACTGGGAAAGCCATCATAAGGAGAAAGGTAGATTGCTGGATGTCCTTTGAGGAGTATGACAGACTTACAAGGTAAGGATGGCTGTGTTATTGAATCTCAGGTGACCAACGAAATCCCAGGTCATCTTCTGATTACACAGGAAGAGAAATCTTGTGTGATTTAGTTTGAGTATATCTTATTGGATTATTTTGCATCTTCCTTTTGCGTAAAAATACAATAATTTTTATTATACTAAAAACTTGTCTTATATAATTGATTTCAAAAATTATATCTAGCTTTAAAATAAATTTTTCCGTATCTGGTGCTCCCAAAACACTTCTAAGATAGAACTGATATATGATTCAAATCGTTAACAATACTCAGTCACAATTTTTGATTTTGTAACAGTCACCTGGCAATCAGGTACCAGCAGCTACACGGCTCTTCTGATTCCAACGCCTTCTGGCCCGGCCAGCTTCTGGATAAAATTAGACTGTGTATGCCCCCGTACGATAAACCAGAAATACCAGACCAGAGCGGAATCGTCTTCCAGAAGGTCAAGGAGAGAAAGCTGACCAATCTCGGGAAGGCGCGGGATTACTCGGCCTGGCCAGTCAATGACCAAGGATACGTACAGTCCGGGATATACGATCCATTTGCTAGAAAATTTATACACAACTATTGATGCTAGAAAATTTTTATATTTAATCTATAAAAGCATGTGCTATTTTTATGCCTTAAAAAACATTTACACTCATGTTTGTTACTTGCAATGTTAGAAGTCTGATTTAATTTTTATTTGTATTTTTTTATGCATTCAGGTTTGTTTCTGCAGAATTTATTTTTGATATTTGTTTGACTCTGAGAGAAATTTATTTGTTAACTGTTACCAGTATTAATGGCTGTTGCACATAAAAAGTTCTAATTTTGTTTTTTTTTAATGCAGTATGTTCGGATTAATTTAAGCAATAGATGACCGCAGATTTAAGATGAAGTGAATTAAAATATGCAGTTTAATATTTAATTTGTTATCACTTCACAAAAAATTTTGAAGTTTTATTTAGCCAAAATAAATTGATAAAATACAGTTGTATATGTTTATCCTATAAACTAATTTCTGTTCATGAATACTTATTTGTTTTGATAATATTTCCCGAGGATAAATGGCAGGTATGGTACACCTAAAGTAGAATTAGTAAACTGAGTATTTATACCTTAATACAAGATAATTTTCCTGTGTTTATGTTTAAAAAAAATCTTCATTCATTTATAGAGGGACTGTCAAGTGGTTAATTAAAAGAATGAGTTTTTTTTGGTAAATTCTATTGTATATTTTGATTTCGTCTGAATTATAGTAGATTTACACAGAGGAACTGTATGCTATGTAAATTAGGTAATAATGAAATAAATCACAAAGAAAGTCAACTATACAAGTACTACCAAAGTCTGAGGTAGTAGTTCTGAGTCCATACTCAGTTATTATGGGGAATTTATTCATTTTGAAAAATAAAACTAGAAAGCAGATTGAAAAATCACAATGATAATTCTTAATGAGATGTTGATGTACACATATTCCTTATACAGGGAACAAGTTGTTGTAAATGTGTAAGCTTGGCAATAGATGTACTATAGAACTACCTTTACCAGTGACTGTATTTCTATATATTTTACTTTTGATGATTGCTGCCAATATAAACCTGTGGCCTTTCTAATTCATTTACAAATTTTTGTTCAAATATAACTGTGATATTTTTTATACAATTTTTTTTACGTTTTTTTTCTCTCTATCTTTGCTGCTGTGTTATTTTTTTACTGCTGATGTATGAAATATTAAATAAAGTACAATATTATTTGTCCTTCAAGTGTTGATGTTCCTACATGTACCTGACTCATGACATCTAGTTTAGTGTATATTTAGGTCATACCGGTAGGTTATTAGTACATAATATAATTAAATACCAAGCAAATGCTGGGCTTGTTACATCCTTTGGGTACTGTATGTGACTTACATTTCACACTTGAGTATTTGGCATTTACATGTCCCTTTTTTATTAGGTCACCTGAGTAAACTCAGGTGACCTATTGCTATCCGTTTTCGTCCGTCGTGTGTCGTGTGTTAACATTTGAACATTTTCAGCTTCTTCTCTGCAACCACTGAACCAATTTCAACCAAATTTGGCACAAAGCATTTATGGGTGAAGGGGAACAAAAATTGTGAATTTCATGATCCCTGCCCCCCTGGGGTCTGAGGGGTGGGGCCAAAACCACTAAAATTAATGCAATCTTTAAAAATCTTCTTCTTTACTCCTGGACATCAAGCAGTCAAACTATTTGCATGATTGTAATCAGCATTGAGTCCTCTACCAAAATTGTGAAATTCATGGCCCTGGGGTCAGGGGTGCTAGGGCGGGGCTAAATAAGTATATAGTGAAAATGCATTATTTCTTTGAAAATCTTCTTCTCTGCTCCTGGGTATCAAATAAACCAACTATGTACATAGTTATGATGAGCAAGAGTGCCTCTACCAAAATTGTGAATTTTATGGCCCCAGGGTCAGGGGTTCTGGTGTTAGGGTGGGGCTCTATTGATTATATAGTAAAAATACATGATTTCTTTGAAAATCTTCTTCTCTGCCCCTGGGTATTAAATAAACCAAGTAAGTAAATAGTTATGATGAGCAAGAGTGCCTCTACCAAAATTGTGAATTTTATGGCCCCAGGGTCAAGGGTTCTGGTGTTTGGGGGGGGGGGGGGGGGGGCTCTATTGATTATATAGTGAAATTACATGAATTATTTGAAAATCTTCTTCTCTGCTCCTAGGTATTAAATAAACTGACTAAGTGCATAGTTATGATGAGCAAGAGTGCCTCAACAAAATTGTGAATTTTATGGCCCCAGCATCATTGGTTCTGGTGGGGGGGGGGGAGGGGGGGACTTTATTGTTTATAAAGTGAAAATACATGAATTCTTTGAAAATCTTCTTCTCTGCTCCTAGGTATTAAATAAACTAACTAAGTACATAGTTATGATAAGCAAGTGTTCCTCAACCAAGATTGTGAATTTTATGGCCCCAGGGTCAAGGGTTCTGGTGTGTGTGTGGGGGGGGGGGGTATTGATTATATAGTGAAAATATGTGAATTCCTTGAAAATCTTCTCTGCTCCTAGGTATTATATAAACTAACTAAGTGCATAGTTATGATGAGCAAGTGTGCCTCAACCAAAATTGTGAATATAATGGCCCTATCATCAAGGGTTCTGGTGTTGGGGGGGGGGCTCTATTGATTATATAGTGAAATTACATGAATTCTTTGAAAATCTTCTTCTCTGCTCCTGGGTATTAAATAAATTAACTAAGTGCATAGTGATGATGAGCAAGAGTGCCTCAACCAAAATTGTGAATTTTATGGCCCCAGGGTCAAGGGTTCTGGTGTTGGGGGGGGGGGGCTCTATTGATCATATGGTGAAAATACATGAATTCTTTGAAAATCTTCTTCTCTGCTCCTAGGTATTAAATAAACTAAGTAAGTGCCTAGTTATGATGAGCAAGAGTGCCTCTACAAAAATTGTGAATTTTATGGCTCCAGCGTCAATGGTTCTGGTGGGGGGGGGGGGGGGGCTTTATTGATTATAAAGTGAAAATACATGAATCAAGGCCGTAACTACCATTGAGGCAAGTGAGGCAAATGCCTCACTAAATTTGTAGAGTTTTCTGAAAAGTGAAAACGTTTTACGATGAATAATTTATGAATTATGAGTGTCTTCGTGCTAAATTAATATTTCAAGTTTCAATTTCTGTAAATGTTTCATCTCACTAGGTGCCCCATTTTCGTTAAGAACGCATGTAAAATATAATTCAAATTGTTTGCTTTGTAAATTGTTTGATTGTTTAACATCCCTTCTAAAAATTTCTAATTCATACTGAGACAGCAGTACTTGCCAATGAGGGCTGCAAGTTTTAAATCAGTACTGAGCTTTTAGGGTAACGGAAGATAATTGATCAGCGAGAGTTCTTTTTGTGTACGATTACTTACTGTGATATAGAAACGCAGTTTCTACCGTCTCATCTGAAGGACCGGTCTCTATATCCTGCAGTGGGATTCGAACCCGCGACCTGAATGATTGAATCCTTACTTCGCGACTTAGGAGCATGTTTGTATATGCTCTAACCACTGTGCCATGCGGGCGACAATTCAAAATGTAAAACTTTCTAAGATTAAAACTTTTATTTTCTAACACCAAGGTTTCAGAATCCTCTTCCCGTGAAGGAAACCCCCCATCACTGGCCATCACGTACTACCTTTGCCCCGTCTGGAACTAGGAATGCCCAGCACCCTTGCCTCACTAAAAGTTTGTGCCTAGTTACGGCCTTGCATGAATTCTTTGAAAATCTTCTTCTCTGCTCCTAGGTATTAAATAAACTAAGTAAGTGCATAGTTATGATGAGCAAGAATGCCTCTTCTAAAATTATGAATTTCATTGCCCCAGGGTCTGGGGTTCTGGTGTTAGGGTGGGGCTCTATTGATTATATAGTGAAAATACATTAAATCTTTGAAAATTTTCTTCTCTGTCTCTGGGTATGAAGCAGATGAACTACCTATATAGTTATGATGAGCAAGGGCCCTAATCTTGCAGAATTGTGAATTTCAAGGCCCCAGGGTCAGGGGTGGGGGGCTCTACTTATATACTGAAAATGAATTAATTGTTTGAAATCTGGTCCTTTGTATTTATAAAACATTTATTTACTTTTTGATAGGTAATTTTAAGGGTGCCTTTTAAAAATTTGTGCAACCTAGGGTCAGGGGTTTATGTCAGAGTGTTAGGGGCACTACTGATTATTGATGAATATTACTGATTAGTTGGAGTGCATTTTTGTTCCCCTACCCTGCGTATGGGTATTCAGTAACCAAGCTAAGCAACTGCTAAGTTTATTGTTATGATGATCAATGGTGCCCTTTCAAAATTGTGAATGCCATATAGCATCTGGCTTAAAACATGAATCAAATTCAATACACTGTAACTGGAAAGTTGTTGCATAATGCTCAGGTGACCTATAAGGCCCGTGGGCCTCTTGTTTTTTTACTTGGATAAACGCACTCTTCTTAAATCATTAGTACGCAATGGCAAATGGAGACCATCTCACTGTAGTAATAGATCAGACAGGAATGTGTCCAAGACAGAAATATTTTCAGTGTTTGTAATCTTAATAGTAAGCTATACATGCATGGGATTATTAACCTGTTTAAAAATTTGGTTCCAAGTCCCAGTGGTATCTATAAAAGAAAGAGGTAGGATAACTTGAAGATTCGACCCCCCCCCCCCCCTTCTTTACGCTGTGAGGACCAGTTCCAATATATGTGCATGTCATTCTAAAATTACTTTTGCACTCTTTTTTCAATATCATTTTCTTAATCTTCAGAAGAGAATTCTGTATCCCTTAACAGTCTTGGTCTAGTTACCAAGAAAGATGGCCAGAACTCTCCCCTATTTCATACTCCAGATATACTTAACATACAGGGGGTATTATGTAGTATGCCCTTACAATCTTTTGACATGGAACAAGTTATTTTACTTAATTGTCAGTACATGTATAGGGGAAAGAAGTCATGTTCATCGAGTGTCTGTGCGAGACGCATCTCTGCAAGCATAACATATGCTTGGAGAATTTTAACTATAATAATGAGACATATGCAATGCCTCCAACATAAAAGAAAAGTTAACTTAGTCTGTTTTCCCCCTTCGTTGTGACTCATTTCAAGAGCATTAGACAGAGGAGTAAGTTGGATGAGATTGCATTCCTTTAAAAAATGATTTTAAAAAAACGAAATCATTATCTATTTATACCATAGTTAGGTGTGATTTCTTTTGTTAAAAGTGTGGGTTTTCTGTACATAACCCACACTTTTCTATAACTCCGCCCATCGAGTCGGGACAAAAGAACTATTTATAAAACGATCAAGCACGGTTTTTAAGGTCAAGATCTAGTAAATGAAAGGTGCCTACAGATTTATCAAACTTGAGAAATAAATTTCTTTATTGATGCTTTACAATTTTAGCTTGGTCAAATAATGTGTTTCGGGGCATATTTTGTAGGTAAACAAGGTGGAAAACTGTATTTTAAACTGTCATTTTCAATAAAAGATTAAGAAAACCAGTCATGAATATGGGATTTTTTTTAATATTCGACAAAGGAAATGTATCCAGATTGCCTACAGTCTCTCAGAAAACGGTAATTAGCATGTTCATGGCCTCTTCTTTAAATCAATATCAAATTTAATATAGGTATCCGGTTTACTTTTCATATGATTTCAAATTGAATGTCAAGAAAATACCATATTTTCTATATAATTCTGCTAAAGCCGTAAAGTACGGAAAAAAGAAAGTTGAAATTGATTATGACGTCATAATGAATCTAGCACCAAAAATTAGTCTAAAGTTATTTACTAGATCTTGAGCTTAAATGAAACAATCGTATGCATGATACGGGCTTGTTATCTTGGTGGTTAAAAAGGAGAAAAAATTTTCAATTGTCTACAGCATTTTGTAATAAATAACAGTTAAAAACGGCCATTAATACTTTAACTTTAGTTAAAGGTGAAGAAAAAAAAACCATCAGAAATCGCTTGATTTTTAAAACATTTTTTTGGATAGTGTAATGACCAGGGTGACGTTAGCTTAGTAGATTTCAATATATCGTTCTTTTGATAACCAACAAAAAACATGTGTACACTACTGTACTTAAATAACCTTTTCAGTTGCGGATCTAGCCGATCAAAGATCATATTTTTTATTAAATTGAAATATACATAACCCCTAACAAACATTTCAATCAACGTACCACTGTGCACGGCAAAGTTTGTATCAGGTTTACAAAAATTGAAGTTAAACTAATTTCATATTAAATTTAAATTACTGGTATGTATAATTTTGACGATTGAAATTTACGAGAGAAAAACAACATATCAAATTAACATATATCACTGAAACCAAACTCGTCATTTTTTCAATTACATAAATCAAACTTTTTAAACGGGCCTAGATATGTTTAATTTTTATGTCGCTTGCGGAGCCCAGTGGTTAAAGTACCTGCCCTAGAGTCACGAAGTAAGGAGTTGAATCCCACTGTGGGACGTGGAGACCTATACAGTATAAAAAGAGGTCCCGGTCGCAAAGGGTTTGGACAGGAAGAAGATCCTTCACTGCTCAATGACCCTGAGTGCCGAGTTTAGGGCAAAATTTGTAGCAAAATTTGAAAAGTATTGTACACAAATCACTTACCCTATATTCGATGGACGTGGTCAGAAGGACACGAAGGAGCATGAAATCATATAAAATCCAAATGCATCTTTGAAACCAAACACTTAATGTTTCAATCAAGCGAACAAGTCCGACCGATTCCTAAGCTGACTTACATATGAATGATTTTTGAAAACTATGGTACAAGTCATTTACCCCATAACACACTGTTGATTATGTGTAGATACCCGATGGACGTGGTCATAATAACAACTCGGGAGCTACGCTCTCTCGTGTCATTATGACCACGCCCATCGGGTATCTACACATAACCAACAGTATGATATGGGGTAACTACTATGTGTTCTATAAGCAATGAGCAGTAAAGAGTGACATTTTATGCTTTTTAGAGGTGCAAGCTGATTTGAGCTAGAGAGGCGGGCATTCAAGACAAAGTAAACGCGGATGCTAATAATGACTAGGTAATTATAGGGAAGCAAATGCGGATGATTTTAACTTATGATTAGCTACATGTAATAAACAAACGATCATTCATATGAATACTAGTATATTGTATTTCTTATGTTAGGACGGTTTGATACTGAAAGAATCTGTCAGCAATGTAATAAGATCGTAAAGTGAGTCAATTACATTATTGAAATAAGAAGTCTATAGTTATTTACAGGTTTGTTTCATGAAAGTATTTTTTTTATACAAACGGTTTCGTTAATACTATTGATGTATTTTTTTGTATTACAGAATAATTAAGAGATTCCGGAACTGAGTTACAGATCGGATGAAAATCAAAATGAGATATTTGTTAAAATTTTTTACAAAATCCTTCTATACTTGTAAGTAAAGAAAACAATTAATTTCAAATACTTTAAATATTATGCTTATGCACGTAGAAGTCACTTATGATTTTTTTTTTTATTGTTGAAACAAATCGAAATATGAGGTATATTAATTTTAAAGAAAAAGAATAATAAGATATTCCAAGACCTAGTTACAAATATGATGAAATTAAGAATGAGCTATTTATTCACTTTAAAAAATCCTTCTATTTGTAATTCAAGGAGACAATTTCAATTTATTCATTATGCATTTAGCATCCAGATTTGCTTTGTCTTTAAAGCCCGTCTCTCCCCTTAAGGACGTTCGATCCTGATATTTTGAGCGTATTTCGCGCAGGTCCTTTATTCATAAAATTAAGCATCATTTTAGGTTCTAACAATAAAACTGAATTCTACAATGCAAATTAAACTATATTCAATGAAAAAAAACGCGATTAAATTTCATTCAAGTAGAATTAAGGTAGGGACTATATTTTGTTGCGGAAGGTTTTTTAGACGAAAATAATCAGTTTTCTCCATTGAACTATAACAGTACTGTTAATTTTGGATGCCTATTTTTCCATGAAGGTTGCACACAAAGCTGTTTTTTACAGTGAAATATCTTATGCTGGTTCTGAAATATCTATCAAATTATTTCTTATGAATTCTATCAACAAACTGTGACAAATATAGTAAATATATTCTGAAAATCCGGGAAAAAATTGAGCCAATTTTTACGTAAAATTCACACTTTTTTAGTAATATCTGAAAATGTACATCATATACCCCCAATTTTGATGTTCTTTTCTAAATATTCAAGATAACTTTGACATATTTGCTTAAAATCAGAAAAAGTTTAAGACTTTAAAATAATTTTCTTGCCTATTATATTTTCAATGTCGGAAAAATAACATTTTATTAGTGCAGAAAGGTCAAATAATTGATTATGCGAAGCAATTTGAATCTTTTTCTTAGTCACAATTTTTAAGTGTCTTTTTTTAAACAGACTTTGAGTTCATTTTGTTTCATGCTTTAATTGGATAAAAATATTGGTGGGAAAACGTCGAAGATGTAATTTTTAATTAAGACACAAATTTCAGTGCAGAAAGGTCATATTAAATGTACTGTAGCGCTAAAAGAAGCATATTGACCCCCAATTTTTGATTTAAATTTTAATTAAGCTATGTATGTAGAAACTAAAAATATACTTGGCAAAAAAAGTTTAAGACTATAAATATCAGGATCGAACGTCGTTAAATCACCTTGCACCTCAAATAAGCATAAAAAAGTATTACTCTCTACTACTGTAATGGTTCTAGATTAACTAATTCAAGTTTAAAAAAAATAAATCCGAATTCAAAGCTACACAAGAACACGCCAAAAAGAGTATCCATCTGTATTTAATTTCTAGTCAGACCCCTCTTCCTTTTTCCCTGCATACAAACTCTCTCCCTTTCCAGAAACCTGGTTATGGCCCTTTTTTCCAGTATTCTTAGATGTGTTTCTTTGTTTGTTGTTTAACGTCCATCTCGAATTTTTCACTCGTATGGAGACGCCACCACTTGCCGGTGGAGAACTGCAAATTTGTCCTTTACTCGGCACTTACATCAATCGAGCAGTTAGGGATCTTTTTCTTGCCAGCACCTACTGCGACGCGGGACATCGTATTATACGGTCTCATCCGAAGTACTAGTACCGGTCTCCACGTCCAGCAGTACGATTCAAACCCGCGACGTAAGAAACAACTCCCGACTCCGCGTTTCTAGAGCAGGCGCTCTAACCACTGCGCCACGCGGGCGACTCTTTGATGTGAGGTTAGAGGACTTGAAACTACGCATTATTATTCCCACTTCTTATCAATATCTACCTCACATTTACAATTATCGTACAAAACAACCCTTAGGGGTCAAATTATTAGATAGATAACCATTTGTCTGCTAACATTTGATATTCTAAGTGCTGTAGGTAATTATTCCCTGAACATTCGCGCCAAAATGAAGCTTTCCGTGCGTGTTCGAGGTGACTGGTTTGCTGTCCCGTGTAAAGGGACTGAGAAAGTCACGTGGCTTGGAGAGGAGTCCTTAAGGAGATACTATAAATCTAAGTCTGGGGTGGGGCATGCTCTCAAGGAAAAAGTTTATGAGGTTCGGAAAGCCAAGGGAGCCGCCATCTTGGATCCTGATGACGCAATTAGAGATGTCCTGGACGAAAATGATTTCGTCACTGTCGGTAGGATAGAATTATTTTGATGGTGGACATAGTGCATAAAAAATCAATATATATTTGACAAAGATAAGATATTTTTAATGAAATGCAATGCAAACCTTTGACATTCTTCTAATTCAAATAATTATGTCATGTACCATACTATTATTGATCTCTACTTTATTAGTACTTGACAGCGATATATCAAGTCCGGTAACGGGACCAGCCGAGCCGGTGTACGTGGAGGAGAAAATGTATCCTAGTCTGACATTTGTTTTCTTTTAAGGCAGAACTGAACAATTTCTATACGAATATAAAAAAGTGATACTTACCAGGTGCAGATGAATGATTCGGTTAACTGACATGAGTAGCGCACCATAGCGTGCTGTAACTCGATAAGCTGACAAGAGTAGCCAATACCCGGTATAGTGTGCTGCAGCTACTTGACAAGCATTGCACGCCATGATATATTGTACCTCGGTGAACTGACAAGCATTGCACGCCATGATATACTTTACCTCAGTGAACTGACAAGCATTGCACGCCATGATACACTGTACCTCGGTGAACTGATAAGCATTGCACGCCATGATATATTGTACTTCAGTGAACTGACAAGCATTGCACGCCATGATACGCTGTACCTCGGTGAACTGACAAGCATTGCACGCCATGATACACTGTACCTCAGTGAACTGACAAGCATTGCACGCCATGATACACTGTACCTCGGTGAACTGACAAGCATTGCACGCCATGATACACTGTACCTCGGTGAACTGACAAGCATTGCACGCCATGATACACTGTACCTCGGTGAACTGACAAGCATTGCACGCCATGATACTAGTATAATGTACCTCGATGAACTGACAAGAGTAGCTTACTATGGTATAATGATGCACCTCGGTAAATTGACAAGAATAATATGCCAGGGTGTGCTGTAACTCGGTGAACTGACAATCATGTGCTGTTACTTGGTAATCTGACAGTAAGGTATATCAAGGTGTAACTCGGTTAACTGACAAGAATAGCTTACCTTGGAATGTTGTTACTCCGTGAACTGCCAAGAGTAGAACGCCATTAAATGTTGTACCTCGGTTAATTGACAAGACTATATACTGTAAACCAACTTTTATTCTGGTGCGAGAAATTTTCGCGAGGTTCGCAAGAGCTCCGTCATCGCGAATATTTCTCGCCTCGAACCGGTCCTTAAAGTCTATGTGGCTATTAACAACAAATCTAAAATAGGCTTGATCGCCAAAATTATTCGTCGCGAACTAGTTTATCCTGGTAAATCGCGAAATTAAGTCGTCGCAAATTACAGTTGGTTAACAGTAGCTCACAATGGTATGCGCAGTTAACTGAAAAGCTGAAAAGCGTGAAACATCAAAGTATGCTCAAACTTTGTTTACTGAACACTTAACTGAAATACAAAACATTTTAACTGAATACATGACACACCTTTGTATGCTTGTAGTTCAATTAACCGACAAGAGTAACGCACCCTGGCTTGTTTGGAATCGGATATCCTACCAGCTTAGTATACCCTGTTACGCAATGTCACTTGACATACAATAGCATATTATAGTATGCTGTGCTCAGTTTTAAAAAAGAAATATACCAAAATATTATGAATTTCGGTTAAATACAATGTTAAGGTAAATAAATTCTATGGTGATTATGTATGTGACTATTGTGACTATGTTTTTTCCTTGACCATCGAAGTGCTAAGACTAGTGTGGAGTCCGCCACGGAGGTAAAATCCTTCTGTAGCATTTTATCTGAAATTATTTTTACTAATTTGCATATTGGATACGAGACTTTTTTTATACTCATTTATTATATACATGCTGTCTTACAATCGTAGATTCCTGAAATTAATCATCATATTCAAGAAACTTGTTTATTGTTTTTATCATATTGATTGTCCAAGACTTAAACATACGCTATATTTCACACAAGAACTCTGCAATGCCTTACTTTGCTGAAAAACACGAACTTTTCCTTTTTGTTTTAACAGTACATTGCTCTAGATGGCAACAGTCTATCGACCGACGACTTGCTGAGGTTAGGCAAAGGCCATTACCTAATAAAGGTAAGGATTAGATAAAGTGGGAATGAAGAGCTTTCTGAATTATACAATCAATAAGGAAAAGTGCCATGTCTATCTTAAGTGTGTCAAATAAAAAAATAGTCACACATCCTCTTTCTCAACAGTGACACAAAAAGCAAAAATAAGACTTAAACAATGTCTAAACACAACATTAGACATCTCACTTTTTATAGCTGACAGTTGAAGCAGAACAAAAAGTAAATGAAAGCTTCTGGACGACATTGTGAGCAGCAACAAAGGTAAAAAAAATATTACAAAGGAAAGGGAAAAGAAAACTTCTCTTATGCCCTGTTCACAAACAATTCGCAGTAAATTAATGCGAAGTAAACTGATGCGAATCAAATTAATGCGAATTAAATTGCGTTCACACGACAGCTAATGCGAAGTAAACTAATGCGAATTAAAAATTTTCTTTGCAGTAGGCGTCAGTAAGTCTATTATGACGTCATTTGTAAATCACGTCATGTATGCAGAGCCATCCTTTGATACATCATATAGTGGCTACAGGTATATTGATTTTAGTGCTCAATTTTTGAACCAAATATAGCACAAATACCTATATATAAAGCTTCTGTCTTACGATGCGTCAAAATTTAATTCGAATTGTGAGCGCAGCTAATGCGAAGTAATTTAATGGCAGTAAATTAAAAAAACTAATTCGCATTAAAGTGAAACGCTAAGCGAAGCTAATTCGCAGTAACTTTACGTTTAATTCGAATTAAACTCTCCGTGTGAACAGGGCATTAAAAATAAAAAAAAATAATATTTGAAGTTAAGACAAAAGGTTTCATGATTTTGTCGACTGCATGAGTACATGAGTTTACTTAATACTAAGTAACTGAAATTAAGATTAAATATGAAACAAATTTCTAAGACTCAAATGAATTTTGACATTGTGTTTTTTTTCAGTTGTTTATGGAATAACAACTGGCTTTGGAAAATTTGCAAGAACCACAATTGAGAAAAACAAACTAATGTGAGTTATTTCTACATGATTGTAGGGTCAGTTTATTAGAAAGTGCATGTCATATTTCAATATTTGATAAGCTCTAAAAATCTAAAATCTAAGATTTTAACTGTATTCCCAAGTTTCTAGCACTTTTCTTTATCTATACTTATGTATCATGTTGATGCGCTATCATTTCTAGAGAACTTCAAGAAAATTTGATTCGATCTCATTCAGCAGGTAGGTCATTATAAACTAATATCAATCAAAGTAAATTACCAATGTTCAATGATACAATAAATTTCATTAAATAAAACTTTCATTTATATTTGTAAAATGAAAAACAAAAATCGAAGTTTATTTTTACGACTTTCCAGGCGTTGGTCCCCCATTGTCGCCTGAGCGGACCCGGATGTTGCTGGCATTACGAATCAATGTCCTGGCTAAAGGTTACAGTGGGATATCCATGGGAACTCTGAAGAAGTATATTGCAGCATTTAATGGTAATGTGTAAACTATGAAAAGATAATAAAACAGTAGACATATTCTGGACAAGTAGATAATTTAAGGTACATAAGACTTAATCCAGGTTATTTCCTGAACTAATTTAGAAGTAAGGCGAACACAATAACACAGAACTCTGACTCCATAAACTTCCCATGTTCCCTCTTAATACTCAGTGTAAAGGTTTTCTCTACTCAAGAACGTTTATGAACTTTTTTATAGTCAGCAGGACCAAATACTAAAATATTATGTATTTGCTTCGTAAGACTCGATATATCCTGAAAGGACTAGTACTGAGTATATGATTTTAAATGATTGAGATTCCTTTTGGACATGCATATAAATTATTGCACAGATGGTTGCAAACTTCTTTTCACCCTTAAACGTGGACATAGACACTTAATCTGCGTTAATTTTATATAAATAAATTGGTTCATGATCTACAGATGTATAAAATCATCTGTAGTGTCTCATGTGTTTAGTACATGCTTCTGGTTTTTGCTTGCAAATTTTTAACACCTAATTGACGAACATTATCAATTTCTGCAGCTAATTGTTTGCCGTGGGTGCCAGAGAAGGGGACAGTTGGTGCCAGTGGCGATTTGGCGCCATTATCGCATCTAGCACTAGGAATGATGGGAGAAGGCAAAATGTGGAGCCCTCAAAGTGGCTGGGCGGACGCTAAATATGTAAGTTCTCAAGAAAATATTAAATTCATTTTTTTAATTTGTTTTATATTAAACGTTGGTTTTTGCTTAGCTCATGAACACTTTGATTTAGGTTCTAGAATCAAACAATTTGACACCAATTAAACTTGGACCCAAAGAAGGCATCGCTTTAATCAATGGAACTCAACTGATCACAGCACTCGGTGTTGAAGGTAGGAACCCAATATACTGTAAACAATAAGAAATTCAACTGTCGTTGTATTTTATTCATTGTCATATTTCCGTAATTACAATCTTTGAATCTTTTACGCGTTGTATAATTATCCTGGTTGACGAAGTAGAGAGTTGTGAAGAAATAATTTTCTGGTTTCAGGACTTGAGCGAGCAGAGGCCATAGTAAGACAAGCAGACATCGTAGCTGCTTTCACCTTGGACGTTCTGAAGGGAACTACAAGGGCCTTTGATAGCAGTTAGTATTTTGTAGAGAATATGCAGTATCTCTAACTAAGTTGGCCATTTCCCCATATAATTTAAAGTCTTTTCTATCAAAGATTCTATCACCATATGATCAGCATGTTCTTTTAGATCTCTTACATCACTTTCAAACCGTTTTGTGGCCTTCAGTTTGTCACGAAGTATGTGGATTTGATATCTAGTCAGTTGGTAACATTTGGGGAGGGGATTGCCTTCTCTTACGATTGTGATAAAATTATTAGTGTATCATTAGATATCCATGACGTCCGACCACACAAAGGGCAGAAGTTGGTGGCTAGGCGCCTTCGTTCTTTGCTTCATTCTGACACACATCCTTCCGGAATAGCAGGTAAAAAATTCTTACAAACACCTTGCAAGTTGTGTAGTGACAAATCTTGGTTCCTTTTAAAACACTGAAATCCGATTTGATTTTATTTGATTTGATTTTAAATGTTTCTCCTCTCCACAGAGAGCCATCGCTTTTGTAACCGCGTTCAAGATGCCTACACATTGCGTTGCTGTCCTCAGGTAAGTGTTAAATTATAGGCTTCTTCTCATAAGTTAATAAGTTACCTAGATATTGCTATATACGTCACAGGTTATTGAAAGGTGCATAATCATACTTTGTGAATACATAATATATGCATAATTAACATCTTGGGTCTAATTACTGTTATTGGTAGGTACATTTTTGAATGTCCAGGATGCTTGTTCATAATCAAATGTATATTGTTATAGGTACATGGAGTAGTAAATGACACCCTGGCCTTCGTCAGAGGTATCCTGTCCGTGGAGGTCAACAGTGCCACTGACAACCCTGTATCCTTCTACCCACTAACTCAGTCTCTAACTATTGGCCCACTTAATTGATGCAATGTTCATCCAAAATTTTAAATTTCATTCGGTTATAATTTGAGATGCTGATGATAATGCTTTCCCTAGACCAAAATGATTTCTTTTTTAATATAATTTTAATGGTTTATCCTCATTAAACTTTTATTTAAAATCATTTCTTTAGCCTTCTGTAATAGATGGTATTTGCAGAAACAGGAGAAATTATATCTGGTGGCAATTTTCACGGCGAATACCCGGCTAAGGTAAATAGGAGGTTAAGGCACATTATTAAGAAAAAATAGTTACAATAGGTTATGATCTTTTTATTTTCAGAACCTGTTTTGTAATGTTTCTATTTCAATGTCTAAAATAGAATTTTTTCTAATAAAGTACCATGTATCTTTTTTGTTTGTTTCCTTTGTAGAATCAAAGGGCAAAACATTTCCAGTATACACCACTTATTTGCCCTTATATGATATAAAACTAATATAATATATTATGACTTGAACTGAACATATCCTCTCATCTATGAATATAAAGTGATAATTATTAGAATACTGTAAATTGCAAGTTATATTCAGTCTTAAATCAAGCATATGGAAGCATTACTTATTTTTGCAAAGCCAGCCACCTTTAATTAATTTAATTGAAAATGCGAAAATAACAAACAGTTATCATTCAGGGTCTAAAAAGAAGTCCATTTAAAACGAATACAGAATGGAGCCAACATTCACTTCTACAAGAAGAGATGGGTTCATGTGTCATGGAGGAGTAAGCATCCTCTGGCGACCGGTCAAACCGACACTGTGCTCCTTAATATGAACGACTAGTGGACACTCAGTGTAAAAATGATGCCTTAATAATCTATACGATACACGTCAATCATCATTCAACCTAACGGAAGATTGTAACTGCAAATTTAAATAAAGTCACTACAATCGGCCATTAAAAATTTAAAGTCATCATGTTTATCAAAAGGTTCCTTGTCAGTTTTTCATTAATTATGTATTGTTTGAAGATATTGTCTTCGAAATCATATTGTTGGAAGATATTGTCTCCAAAATCTATGCCAATATTGTCAAGGTAAAACAAAAAACAAAAATAACAATTGTAGGATGAACCCCAAAGTACATGTACACGTGTTTGAACTCCAAAATACTAGTATTTGAAGAACATTTATCACTCCTTCGAGACAACACACTTCAGTTTTGCATTACAATATATTCATTTTATTTAAGGCTCTAGATTATTTGGCTATTGGAGTACATGAAATCGCAAACATGAGCGAGAGAAGAATAGAGAGACTGGTCAATCCTGGTATCCAGACATTTTATCCTTCTGAATTGTATATGAATTATTAAATTTATTATTTTTGATGGAAAATTTGTAGTTAATATGATAATGTAACGAAAACATGAATTTTCAGCCTACAGCGAGTTGGATGCTTTTCTGACCCCAGATGGTGGTTTGAATTCTGGGTTTATGATTGCACACTGCACAGCAGCTGCCTTAGGTAAAGCCGCTATCAGGAATAAATCTATCATCTTAAATCCAAAAAAAATTCTTTGACAAATTTCTTACATTATGATTTTGCCTTTTTTCCCCAAGTGTCTGAAAATAAAGTGTTGTGTCACCCGGCCTCGATCGACTCCTTGACGACGAGCGCGGGAACTGAGGACCACGTGTCTATGGGCGGATTTGCCGCCAGAAAATGTCTGCGTGTTGTAGAACACGTGGAGCAGGGTAAGACAAAAAAGCTTAAAGAATAACATTTTGCGGAATTAGAAAAGCGGCATGTTTTCATTTATGATCCAGAGAAGTCACGATTCTTGAATATTCCATTGGTATGGTTATGTTAAGATCCGTTATTTGTGACGCTGAGGAGCAGGTAAAATATAATTCGGGATATACTTGTAGAACTTAAATATTCCAGTAAAGTATCACTTATTTGAAGCACACATGACGTACTTGCACTATCCGTACATGTTACTGGTTGGATTTTGGCATTACATCTTTTCAAGAACAGTCGCCCCGTGGCGCAGTGGTTAGAGCGTCTGCTCTAGAGTCGCGACGTAAGGAATTGATCCTTACGTCGCAGGTTCGATACCTACTGTGGGACATGGAGACCGGTCCTTCGGATGAGACCGTATAAACTGAGGTCCCGTGTCGCAGTAGTTGCTGGCACGAAAAAGATCCCTCCCTGCTCAATGGCCTTGAGTGCCGTGTACAGGACAAACATTTGCACATTTCCACCGGCAAGTGGTGTATCCATGAAAAATTCTTGATAGGGACGTTAAACAACATACAATCAATCAATCAATCAATCAATCTCCAAGAACAGTCCCTGCGTGGCGCAGGGGTTAAAATGTTTGCTCTATATCAGTTGAGAAAGAAGTTGATACTTACATGTACCTTGCGGGTTTGCATTCTACTGCAAGAAATGAAGACTAGTCTATTGGATAAGATCGTATTACTATCAACCGAGTTCCCATGTACAGGAAGTATTGGCTTGAAAAAAAACTCGCTGCTTACCTGTAAAAGACTGTAAGTGCCGAGTATAGTTTTAAATTGCATTCCCAGCGGTAATTGGTGGATTTTTAAATTTTAAAAAGAAATTTATCGAAGAGATGATAATCAAACAACAAAGAAAATATTCAAAAATATTTCATTCATGTTGAGATATAGTAACTAATTACTTATGAACTCCAAACATATATATAATATGACCAACGAGCAGTGAAAGGTGTAGCTTTTTTGCCAGCACCTACATCGATAGGGAATCTCGAGTGTTCGGTCTTATCCCAGAACCCATCTCTTCGTCCTGAAATTGTAATCTGCGATATAATATTAATTCAATCCTTGCTCCGCAACCCTTGAGCGAAGTGTTACCTTCATTAAAACCACTGCACTACGCGGGCAAGTAGGGCTATACGGAACGTGTTTGTTAAGGATTTAAAGAAATCAACAGTAGACATCACATGCCTTTATGTAACATCGTTACGAAAAGAGTGAATCGAGCAAGACGTGTGTATTTTCGTCGAATGATATCTTTTTAAGTAAGTACCTATCTTAAAAGAAATGGATATCAAAATCCCTGTTATGTATATCTCCTGACATTAGACACTTACATATTTTTGCAGTGTTGGCGATAGAGCTTCTTGCTGCCTGTCAAGCCATGGAGTTTTTGAGACCATTGACAACAACACCACCGTTAGAAGAAGTGTATAAACTTGTCAGAAATTTGGCGGGGTAACTCTTACAGGAATCTTGAAAAAAAGTATTTTTTAAAGAAAGCTAACAAAATCATCAAGCAAGTTGAAAGATTAACCTATGAGAGTTTTTTTTTTGTAAACTTTTTAGTCCATGGAAAAAAGACAGATACATGGCTCCAGATATAGATGCCGTAACAAAACTGTTACAGGAGGAGAAGGTAGGTCAAATACCTGTTCATTATCTTCACCTTTTTTCAAAGGCATAAAGAGCAACATATGCAAAATAATATGACCCCTATGTGCTTATTTATACAAACCATGAAAACAAAAGTAAAAGTATATGAATCAAACAGTCCACTCTGATCTTAAAGGTTTGGAGGAAAGTAAAGCCATTCATGGATAATTATCATGCTCAGCAGGATGTCGAAACAAGAGTTTTCTCCCCTACATCAAGTTTTTCTGCTGAGGCGCCATCTGTTGCCAAAAGACGTAAAACCAGCAGTATGTCTCGACCACGATAATCCACGAGGCTGACCAATCTTGTTTAGAATTCAGATTGTGTTTTCTCTTCACAAAATTTTACCAGAACATGGGTACCGGTGTTTTAAAGTCTGGAGTTGGGAAAGAATATGTGAGAATCATAACGCCTACAATATATTTGTAATTAAACGGAAAATATATAAGTTTTTATTTTTTTAATTTTTATTGTACTTTTTCATTATTTGAATTAATTCATGATCATGTATCTGGGAAAAGGTTAGCTGTGAAATAACTGCTTTTAAAACAAGATGTAATCGGTATTTGATTTTTCTACTTTAGTAAATTGGCAAGAGGCATTTCTCTTCTAAAAATCGTCTTCCAAGTTATCTTTCATATGAATTAGTTTTTGATAAGCCGATGAGAAGTTTGAGCAAGAGAGCGAAGATGTACAACTGTATGCAAAGTTGTATTAATTTACCCAGGTGTAAAAGAAACGTTATTTTATTCTCCATCATTAAAGTAGCTGTTCATCTAAATTGGAACTCCTAATAACTCGGTAAATAATCAGTTTTTTATTTTCTCACAATTGGATGGATGATTTTGTATGGGTCTCCATCTATAATCACTTCTTTACTGCGAGTGTCACTGTTGAAATTTTATAAATTCTAATATGTCGTTCAAAAAAATGCATTAAAATGACGAGTACATAGAACATGATATTTCATGTTAATACATTCTGCTGTCCATATTTTCATTGAAAATTAAATCAATGTATGTAACCATTTTCTATATTTTTAAATATAGCAATGATTTTATCTCCAAGAAGGATATGGAAATAACTACGAAAACCCAGAAGGCTCTTTCGAGATTCGAAGTTCGAAATACGAAATTCGAGATTCAATCAAAAGAGCCTTCTGGGCTTTCGTAGATAACGAAGTGTTTTCATAGTTCAAATTAATATAAAATTGAATTTAGATTTGGTTGATTTACACCCATTGCATGTTGACCTTACACTGCTTATTACTTTAGATATGTATATGGTTTGCACATAGTTTCCCATTCAGTGTATGCTCAAAATTTGTAGTAAAAAATTGTTTCCAAATGTTTTGTTTCCAAATTGTTCCAAGTTCCAGAAAATCATACCAATTTTCTAAATCATTTACTCAAAAATAACAAAGAGACTAATTGATGCAACATTTATAAACAAAAAAAGTAACAAGCATTTGAATATATAAATTGTATAGTTCGTGTCCAATGGGCGAGCGTCCGTTTTCCAATAAATCTACTCACACAGATATACATAAGTTTTATGTCTACCCTTTTCATTGGTCTCGATTCTTCTTGGGTGGCAGTCATCGTCTGCCATTATTCAGGAAGGGATGTTGGCTTTGGGCGACGATCCTTTTCTTCCTTTTTTGGGGGTCGTCTGCGGTCACCTTCCTCATCGTCACCGTCACATCTGGGTGGTGGTCTTCGGCGGTCACCATTTTCTTCATTCTCCCGTTCTTCTCTTGGAGGAGGTCTTCGGCGGCGTCCACCCTCTTCATTTTCACGTTCCTCCTTTTTTGGGGGTCGTCTGCGGTCACCATCTTTGTCATCGTCACCGTCGCGCCTGGGTGGTGGTTTTCGGCGGTCACCCTTTTCTTCATTCTCCCTTTCATCTCTTGGAGGAGGTCTTCGTCGGCGTCCACCTTCATTTTCGCGTTCTTCTTCATTCTTTGGGGGTCGTCTGCGGTCACCATCTTTGTCATCATCACCGTCACGTTTTGGTGGTGGTCTGCGGCGGTCACCATCTTTGTCATCATCACCGTCACGCCTGGGTGGTGGTCTTCGGCGGTCACCCTTTTCTTCATTCTCCCTTTCATCTCTTGGAGGAGGTCTTCGTCGGCGTCCACCTTCTTCATTTTCGCGTTCTTCTTCCTTCTTTGGGGGTCGTTTGCGGTCACCATCTTTGTCATCATCACCGGCACGTTTTGGTGGTGGTCTGCGGCGGTCACCATCTTTGTCATCATCTTCGTCACGTCTGGGAGGTGGTCTGCGGCGGTCACCCTTTTCTTCATTCTCCCTTTCATCTCTTGGAGGAGGTCTTCGTCGGCGTCCACCTTCTTCATTTTCGCGTTCTTCTTCCTTCTTTGGGGGTCTTTTGCGGTCACCATCTTTGTCATCATCACCGTCACGTGTTGGAGGTGGTCTGCGGCGGTCACCATCTTTGTCATCATCCCCATCACGTTTGGGTGGTGGTCTGCGGCGGTCACCCTTTTCTTCATTCTCCCGTTCATCTCTTGGAGGAGGTCTTCGTCGGCGTCCACTCTCTTCATTTTCGCGTTCTTCCTTTTTGGGGGGTCGTCTGCGGTCACCATCTTTGTCATCGTCACCGTCACGTGTTGGTGGTGGTCTTCGGCGGTCACCTTTTTCTTCATTCTCCCGTTCATCTCTTGGAGGAGGTCTTCGTCGGCGTCCACCTTCTTCATTTTCGCGTTCTTCTTCCTTCTTTGGGGGTCGTCTGCGGTCACCATCTTTGTCATCATCACCGTCACGTTTTGGTGGTGGTATGCGGCGGTCACCATCTTTGTCATCATCTTCGTCACGCCTGGGTGGTGGTCTGCGGCGGTCACCCTTTTCTTCATTCTCCCGTTCATCTCTTGGAGGAGGTCTTCGTCGGCGTCCACCTTCTTCATTTTCGCGTTCTTCTTCATTCTTTGGGGGTCGTCTGCGGTCACCATCTTTGTCATCATCACCGTCACGTTTTGGTGGTGGTCTGCGGCGGTCACCATCTTTGTCATCATCACCGTCACGCCTGGGTGGTGGTCTGCGGCGGTCACCCTTTTCTTCATTCTCCCTTTCATCTCTTGGAGGAGGTCTTCGTCGGCGTCCACCTTCTTCATTTTCGCGTTCTTCTTCCTTCTTTGGGGGTCGTCTGCGGTCACCATCTTTGTCATCATCACCGTCACGTTTTGGTGGTGGTCTGCGGCGTTTTCCATCCTCGTCATCATCTTCGTCACGTCTGGGAGGTGGTCTTCTTTGTTTTCTTTCCTGATCGTCGGTACCTTGTTGTTGTATCTTATCTCCACCTTTAAATGAAGAATCTTATATTTAAATGGGATTATAATGAGACGAATTGATTAATCTTAATGAATAAAAAATGGAACATTATGAAATATGAAAGGAACAAACTAAAATGTTTAAAAAAAAACTAAAAACAAGCATTACCTTCTATTTCATCCAGCATACGCTCAAGAAGATCGATTTCCAAATCATCTGAAACAATAGAGGAGAATATTAAATGTATGACAAAGAAGTGATCCTGCGGGAAGAGATATGTATGTGATCGGTTTTTTTCTAGATGCCAAATTTTACATGCATCTTCATTGATAATCGATGGTTATTACAGAACAAATGAATTTAGCCGAATAGAGGGCAATCTACATCACACAAAATAAATAATCCTATATCACTATCATTATTTTTTTCAGTTTATTATTCTAAATTATTTTGTTCTAATTTTTTGATATAATTTATATAAAATATAAATATTTACCACGTTCTCCTCCTTTCTTTCCCTGTTTTAAATTAAATTTTAAAATGCAATTATTAAACAAAACAAAATTGTACAAATATATACGAGCTATTGTCATATTGTCTTTCGTTGTACATAATTATGTGGAGTGTAGAGGATCAGAAACCCTTCACTTGAGAAGATTTTATCATTCATGCAGTGCAAAAATTTATGCAAAAGTTTTTCTCACTATATCGGGCATAGTATATAGATTTAAAAAAAATAGCACAAGAAACAATTAATTTTGTTCATGAAAGATTTGAAAAGTTTAAAATACATTGTACATCTGAATATTATTTCTCATCGTAAGGCACTCCCATGAATCTAGGGTATTTTTCGATAATGTTACGATAATGTTACATGTATATATTATTCTGAATTTAATTAATTCAAAAAAATCGAATAAAATAAATTATATGTTAAAAAATTCAAATATTAATAAATTAAATATTAAAATGATTTAATTTAATGATTAGGCGTACATAAACCAAACTTTTTTGTCAAGATTTGTTTTTGGAAGATCTGAAACGTTTAAAATAAAATTCAATTTCTCATCCTTAAACACTTCTATGTTTTGTTTTTTGGGTTTTTAAAGCATGAATTTGAAGTGTTTTCTTAATTATTTAAATGAATATATTTACTTCTAAACATCGAGTAAAATATATTCTTCAAAAAAAGAATCGTAATATTGATTATGATATCCGTCATTTTGACATAAGAAGTAACTAACACTGATTTAATTTAATGATTGTGCATACAAGTACATAAATAAAACTATTCTGTCAATCCAGTAATTGATTTTTTAAAGTATTAAAATAAAATAATTAAGTTACTCCATACCATATATTTAAAAACTTTAAACAAAGCATGTAAATTTTTTTACGCATTTGAATTTTTTTTTAAATTATGAATTATAAAAATGATAATTTTTTTAATGATGTGATTACCTTCGGGGGTCGGGCCTGCACTAACAGGAATCCACAAAGGAGGGCGACGCCAAGAAGTGCGATCCTCATGTTCTCTTTTCTCCTCTCTCCCTGCTCCGGTCCTGGTCAGCTCCCCCTTATATATGTCCCACGGTACCCCAATTTCTGACCGAGTCAAATCGCCTTACGGGGCCCTCTATTGATTGCGAATCTTTTTAGAGTTTATATTTACAACATTATTTTTATTTCGCTTTGTTAAAATCTTACCCCCAAAAAAGAAAAGTTTATTAGAGACCATGACTTCTCATCACGAACTCTCCGAATGTAAACCAGAATAAAGATTAAAAAAGAGGTCATTTAATTTTTTTCTTATTGTTATCTGTGTGATTAGAATGTATTTTTCTTTTTCTCATATAACGAAAAAAGTACTAGTGTTATTAGTTGAAATCATCCAAAACAGCTGTTCCACGTAGTAAATTTTGAAATGTTCATAGTTTAACATTAAGAATTTTTAAAAGTTTATTATATAAGGTATGTCATTCGACAGTTTTTGAGAAAAGTTCACGCAAAACTTCTTACTTTGATTTAATTTGATTTAAACATATTGTATTGAACACAATCAATAGGATTGGACACAAGTTATGCCAACTTAGATTGTCCTCTCCAACACAAACAAAAATAACAAAAATATATACACGTGATGTACAAGCAACAAATATACAATAATATAAAAGAAGAAGAAGAAAGGGGTGCAGAGAGATAAGAAAGGAGGGGAGTGCAAGGAGAGAAGAAATAAAAAGGGGGGTTGTAAAGGATACAAAATGGTTACGCTGGTTATTCATAAAATCTTTTTGATTTTTTAATATATTTATGTACAGCTTCAACAATACTGATATTATTTTGTTGACACAATTCTGGGTCCCCGAATAAGATAATGTCAAGATCTATTGCTCCATTGTTATTCTGTATAGTGTTGAACTTCTTACTTCAAAACTATTTATTGCTTTTATCTTTGTTGTATTTTTCTGTTTTGTTTTCTGTCATAAATACTGAGTACTGAGAGAAAATATTTTTGAATTTAAATTTAAAATAATTTTTTTTTTAAAAAAAGATAATAATGTGGGTTTTTCTGGAATAGTGGATACGATTACTGATTAAAAATTGAAATAAATTGTCATTTCAATTGATTTTTTAGGATTGAAAGTTTTGTATGTGCTTATGCGCTATTTGGCTACATATTTAAAAACAAAAACAAAACAACCTCAATGACTCTGAAAAAAAAAAATAATGAATTTGATTTAAGTTGAATAGGGAAGGAAAGTAAGTTAATCATAGAAAAATGATAAAACTATTGATTTACAGATATATATTACATGGTGTACAATTGTTAGGAATCTTAGGCCTGGCTCTGCTATGACATGTTAGATATAAACGTTTCAACATCAAAAGAAGATCGGATACAAATGAATATTAGTAAAGAGTCGCCAACAGGTTGATTAATAAATTAAATAAACTATTTAATAAAGTACGTCTACAATCGTGCATATTGACCGCTGTAAGCTTAATAGTATTCTTTATGTTCTACCATTCAGCGTCCCTATTGGAATTAAATCTATTCTATTAGGTTAAGTGTCGACAATGAGATAGGTAAACATTGTTCCACCTGCTAAGGACACATTCGGAAACCTTTTATTTGTCAATGTAAATATTTTCAAGATTTACTGAAAAGCTGCTTTTCTCACGAGCTTTTATTCGGATTTAAAGAATGCTGACTGAAAGGAAAAAAATGGATTCGGGAGTACATGCATTGTCTGTGGTAAAGTTAGCAATGTCACTTTCGTGATGATATAGGCATATTTAACAATTAGAAGAAGTTATATATAGTACATATCAAGTATGATAGGGTCGAGATCATTTTAAATGTCAAAAAACAGAGTTATTTTTTCCTTAGATACATCTAAGCATAAGAAATAAAACTGATCTGTTTACTTTCTCAAAATATACATGCCAAGGGGATACATACATAGAAAAATAGGGAGAAAAAAACCAAAGAACATATTGTTAATAAAAATGTGGAAATAATATATAAAAAACACTTCTTACTTTACTAACTTACAACATGAAAGTATACCTACGGTGTTTGGAAATTTATATGATCAAGAAATGTTTGTTTTCTAATAATTATTCTGTTCGTGTTGGGCCTCTTTTCATGAGTTAAATTTCACTTAAATTATTCATAAATGACTCATATATATGCTTTGTTCAGTTTCAATAACTTTTCTTCATCTTATTTAATAAACCAAAACAATATTGGGGAGAAGGTAGGTACTTAAATATTAAGAAAAAAAATAATTTATTTAGCCAAAACAATATTTGGGAGGAGGTGGGTACTTAAATATTAAGAAAAAAAATTATTTAACCAAAACAATATTGGGGAGGAGGTGGGTACTTAGATATTAAAATAAAAAAAAATATTTTTTAAGTTTTGCTGTCGTCCAAGGGTATTTTCATCTTTTCAGGCACATTTCTTATTTCCCTGTTCTGAAAAGACCTTAATGGTAATCTAACAACCAATCTTTATGAAAGACGTGATACTATGCTTTCAATCATCAACTTCTCTTACTTATGCAGCAATATACCTGCATACGGGGTCTATATCTCTAAGCTGATTCGATAAGCAAGAGCATGCTGTACCTATGTACAATTTCTGAACGAAGTGAATTGTTGACAAACAAATTAATGAAACAAAAATAACAAAGTCTGGTTTAAAGTCATCATTTCCTAAGTTCTTTGGTCGATTCAATGACCTTGTCAGCAAATACAATTTATCATTGACTCAAATGCTGACTAATTTTTTTTTACTAATTGCTAGTCCATTATTTTCACACTGAATTGACGACGGGTTTCTACGTTATTTCCTGATCATGACAAGGAACACACGGCGGGTGTGACCTGTCGGCAGGGGATGTTCATTCCTCCGTAGCACCTGATCCCGCTTCTGATGGTTTAGATGCCCGTGTTTGCTCTGTTCCTTTTTTTTGTATTGTTTGATGGGCTTTTGAGTTTAAATATTGTTCTCCATATATTTCATTCGCAAAACTTTCACTTCATCATTTCATTTAATGTCTTTTATACGTTTTTAGGTTTATACATTTTTTTAATTAATTTCTTTCGGGTAGTTTATTTCCTCTTAATGAGTTTAAGTGATTTTGTAATTAGTTTGACAAATTTAAAATCCCACATGTAAACAGAGCTTCTCTCTTTATTTACGACAAATTTTGAAAATGTCATACCTTTTAGTTCTGCTATTTGTGCATTTTTATTTAAGATCCTTGTCGATTCTTTATCCAAAATGTTTAATTTTCAAAAATAAATCATTTGTTGCCTGTAAGCTTTTCTTCCTACTGAAATTTAAAAAAACGCCCAGCAATTTCACGATTATAATAAGCTTTTGATTTAATTTTAAACTTCAAAAGTGAAAAAATACAATCCATCTTTGATCAAAGTAAAACATTCTTATTTTAACGATATTAAAACAAAGTTCTAGATTCATGTAGCAATTGTTAATTCTTAACTGAAATATATGTGTACTTAGCAAATCAACACACAAGTCAACGTATACTCTAAGATTGTTTGTAAGTATAGCTTGGGGTATATTTAAAATCTATATAGGGTCTAAGTACATTCTTCAGATGAATGTCTAAAATAAAGAGTATGAATATTGTTCCACCTGTCAAAGAAAGATTTGAGACTTTAAAAATATTACCACAATTTAAATGAAATATCGTCTTTTTCTCACGAGCTTTTCCCTGGCTTACAGTTCGTTGTTATTGTAAAAAGTCACGATGGGTATATTTCTTTTATAATCCTATTGTGAAGTTAACTCATTAAATGTTCAATCACAAAATTACCGTATAGAAATTCAAAACTAATATGCATAATCAAATTCTTTAAACACTTAACTTATACCAGTTTCTGATGGTTACATCATTTATAAGCTTTCATTGCATCTCGATTCCAGCGCTAGCTGCAAGACAACTTTGAATTGCAAACAAACCTCACTAAAAATTTCTCCCTCTTTCATTTGGTTTAATATATATATGGGCGATAGAAGAATCAGGCTCCGGGGCAACAAAACTTGTCAGGTGAGCTCACCCTTCATCCTTCATCTCAGTCTCACTTTTTTTACACAAGAATAAATAGTGGAAAAGTGAGACTTAGATCAAAAGTGAGCTTGTCTCAGTTTTATGGCCCGTACTTAGATGGATGTAAAAAGCTCACATCAAGCGGCTGAGGGGCAATACGAAAAGCATGAAAAATATGGAGACAACGAACAGTATTCAAGATCAAAAGTCTTTAAAACAATACAAAATAGGAGCAGAGCAAACACGACCTCCAAAACATCGGAGGTGGAATCAGGTGCCATGGAGGAATGAGCATCCCCTGCTGACCGGTCACACCCGCCGTGTGCCCTCTGTCACGATCGGAAAATAACAGAAACGTCAATTCATAGTATAAATAATGGACTAACAATTAGTATGAAAAACGTCAGTCAGCATTTGACTCAATGACAAATTGTATTTGCTGACAAGGTCATTGTATCAACCATAAAACTTAGGAAATGATGACTTGAAACGAGACTGCTGAGGTCCTTGTTTCATCAACTTTTTGATGTCAACTTCAGAGTACTTGTGTGTACAATCAGACTGTTGTTAAACAAAGTAATTTTACAAATGACCAATGGCAGGGTAATTAAATTTTCGAGCTCCATTTTTATTGAAAAAGCAGCTGTCAATGATATCGAAAAGCATGGACTTTAATTTATCGTGGGGGATGGTTGTGTATAAAGTTGAAAAATCGTAAGTTTTTAAGCTGTTGATTTTGGTAAAATCTTGTGATTTCAAACTGTCTAAAAGTTCCTTGGAATTTTAATTTTAAGTATCTACATCTGATTTACACCACTTCTTGAGTATATTATTGCACAGTACTCTTGAAGTTTCTCCTTCACTATTGTAAGTATCTTAGTAAGGAGTAAAGAAAGAGGCTTCGTTGAACGTTTACTGGAACCCGCTATATCTTTGTAAGGTGTAAGGATTCTTATGAAGTTTTCGAATCTAATATATATATATATATATATATATATATATATATATATATATATATATATATATATATATATATATATATATATATATATATATTAAAATTCAAGATGTCCTTGGTATAGGTATGTACATATAGAAAAATAATCCAGAGTTTGGAAAAGATGATCACATTTTATTCCAAAGCGCTTTCGCCATTCGGCTCTTCAGTGGATTTTGAATAACAATAGCAACATGACATGATAACGTCGTTATTATGACGTCATAATTAAAGGACAACGTTAAAATTTGGCGCAAAATATGTCCGTAGAAAGCGCCAAATTAAATAGACTTGACACTGTAAATGATACATATTTACACAATAACAATCAATAATTAATAAATTTTAAAAACAATATTAACAGTCATTGATTAAATCAGAACATTTATCTGTTTAGTTTAGGCTTAAATTTATCAATGAAATATTGTTCTTTGGCCCGCCGTAACTGTTCATTTTCCTCAGTAACTTTATAAAACGGAAAGATACTAAAACGTCCTTTACCGCATTGTTCAAAATGTTCGCTGCACGGAGTATTTCTTACGGAGGGGTCCCTTATCTGCTGTTTGTGTACTCTAAACGGTCGGATATTTTATTCCCTGTTTGACCAAAAGTCATGCAATAAATGACGTTCTTGGTTTTGCAGTTCATATTATGTTGATCTTTAAAATCTATTCCTGTTTTAAATGTGAATGATTCTCCGATTTGTATAAAATCGCAAGTTCCACAGCGTGGATCATTTTGTAAATCAAATTCTTCTCCGCAAAGGTCGTTCAGGCACTGTTTCGTTGTGTTAAAGAATGATTTTTTGGATTCGAAAACGAATGGAATTTCTGTGTGCATATTATCGGATTCATTCTTTCTGGAAGTTCTGTAATTGGGATTGCTTCGGCTTTTCTTATCGCTTCGGCTATAAGATTTTGTGGATATTTTTGGCGGCGTAGAAAAACTTAATTCTTCTAGTCTTTTTGTCCGACGTTTTTCGTTCGTAACTATTGTACATATTCTTCTTGCCAAATTAAATGGTATATTCCGCTTCGTATGTGAAGGGTGGCAGGAATTAAAAAGAAGATACTGGTGTCTAAAATCTGTGGAAATGTTGGTGTTTTCCTTTATTATAAGTATATCCAAAAAAGGAAGTTCTCTTTGACTGGTTTCGATAGTAAATTTGATATTTCCGTGTAATCCATTAAGTAAAGTGTGAAATTCCTTTAATTTTAAGTATTTGTCCCAAAAAATAAAACAATCGATTTAGATAACGTTTCCATTGATGTCTTATATAATTAAACTTTTTCGGTTTCAGTGTACATCTTTTTATTCAAGGAATCCTAATACTAGCAGTACCTTTCACTTGTAAAAAGTACCTGTTGTCAAAAAAGAAATCGTTATTTTCCAGAACCAGTTGCAATCCTTCTAATATAAAATCCTTGGTAAATCTAGGGTCTATCTGGTTTTATTGTACCCAGAATGATATTCTTAGTCCCAAGGTGTGTGGTATATTTGTATAAAGGCTAGTCACATCAAAGCTTACCAAAATGGTTTTTTCCTCAACTTTCTTAGGGATGTGGTGAAGAAAGTCCATATCGTCACGGATGAAACTTGGTACTAGCTGACAAAGAGGTTTCAGAATTATATCTAACAAGTTACTTAGTCTCTGAGTAGGACACGATGGACCAGCTACAATGGGTCTAAGTTTTAAGTCTTCCGGTTGTGGTAATTTAACATAGTTAGATTTCCTTCCCTGTATACCGTCTTTTATTTCCTTTGATTTATGAATTTTAGGAAGTCCATAGAAGTTACTGTTTTTAACTTCAAATTCCAGAAGGTATTCTTGTTCCTTTTTAGTAAGAATACTTGAGAATTTAGATGTAAATTTGCTTAATTTATGTCATCACATATATATATATATATATATATATATATATATATATATATATATATATATATATATATATATATATATATATATATATGGACTTTCTTCACCACATCCCTAAGAAAGTTGAGGAAAAAACCATTTTGGTAAGCTTTGATGTGACTAGCCTTTATACAAATATCTAGAGGCAATATCATTCTGGGTAGATAAACATGAAAACCAGATAGACCCTAGATTTACCAAGGATTTTATATTAGAAGGATTGCAACTGGTTCTGGAAAATAACGATTTCTTTTTTGACAACAGGTACTTTTTACAAGTGAAAGGTACCGCAATGGGCACAAAGGTAGCCCCAACTTACGCTACGCTAGTATTAGGATTCCTTGAAGAAAAGATGTACACTGAATATATGGAAATCTCCAATTATATAAGACATCAATGGAAACGTTATCTAGACGATTGTTTTATTTTTTGGGACAAATCTGAAAGAGAATTAAAGGAATTTCACACTTTACTTAATGGATTACACGGAAATATCAAATTTACTATCGAAACCAGTCAAAGAGAACTTCCTTTTTTGGATATACTTATAATAAAGGAAAACACCAACATTTCCACAGATTTATTCTACAAGGAAACTGACAGTCACCAGTATCTTCTTTTTAATTCCTGCCACCCTTCACATACGAAGCGGAATATACCATTTAATTTGGCAAGAAGAATATGTACAATAGTTACGGACGACAAACGTCGGACAAAAAGACTAGAAGAATTAAGTGTTTTTCTACGCCGCCAAAAATATCCACAAAATCTTATAGCCGAAGCGATAAGAAAAGCCGAAGCAATCCCAATTACAGAACTTCGGAAAGTGAACAGAAAGAATGAATCCGATAATATGCACACAGAAATTCCATTCGTTGTCACTTATAATCCAAAAAATCACAACATCTTTAACACAACGAAACAGTGCCTGCCCATACTTCAACAATCAAGAAATATGAACGACCTTATTGCGGAGAAGAATTTGATTTACAGTAGAAGACAACCGCCAAATTTGAAAAAAATCCTCACCAAAGCCAAATTCACCTCTACAAAGGAAATATTTACAGTTTCCAAATGTGATGATCCACGCTGTGGAACTTGCGATTTTATACAAATCGGAGAATCATTCACATTTAAAACAGGAATAGATTTTAAAGTTCAACATAATATGAACTGCAAAACCAAGAACGTCATTTATTGCATGACTTGCCGTGGTTGCGGAGAAAATTACATTGGTCAAACAGGGAATAAAATATCCGACCGTGTTAGAGTACACATTTGGTATAAGAAATACTCCGTGCAGCGAACATTTTGAACAATGCGGTAAAGGACGTTTTAGATCTTTCCGTTTTATAAAGTTACAAGGAAAATAAACAGTTACAATATTTCATTGATAAATTTAAGCCTAAACTAAACAGATAAATGTTCTGATTTAATCAATGACTGTTAATATTGTTTTTAAAATTTATTAATTATTGATTGTTATTGTGTAAATATGTATCATTTACAGTGTCAAGTCTATTTAATTTGGCGCTTTCTACGGACATATTTTGCGCCAAATTTTAACGTTGTCCTTTAATTATGACGTCATAATAACGACGTTATCATGTCATGTTGCTATTGTTATTCAAAATCCACTGAAGAGCCGAATGGCGAAAGCGCTTTGGAATAAAATGTGATCATCTTTTCCAAACTCTGGATTATTTTTCTATATATATATATATATATATACACACATATATATATATATATATATATATATATATATATATATATATATATATATACGGTAATTCAAATTCATTTTGGTTCTTTGGGATATCAAAATTATTTAAAACTGACATGATTTTGAAGAATTTCTTACTTAGAAAGGAAAATATATGGAGATAACGAACAGTATCCAAGATCAAAAGTCCACAAAACAATTACAAAATAGGAGCAGAGCAAACACAGACCTCCAAAACATCAGAGGTGGAATCAGGTGCCATGGAGGTATGAGCATCCCCTGCCGACCAGTCACACCCGCCGTGTGCCCTCTGTCACGATCAGAAAATAATGGTAAAATCCGTCGTCAATTTAGTGTATAAATAATGGACTAACATTTGGTATGAAAAACGTCAGTCAGCATTTGACTCAATGATAAAATAAATTTGCTGATAAGGTCATGTATCATCCATAGAACTTATGAAATGATGACTTTACATGAGACTGCTGAGGTCCTTGTTTCATCAACTTGTTTGTTAATAATTTAGCTCGATTTAGAAATTGTTCCTATGTAGAGCATGCTCTTGCATATCGAATCAACCGAGATATATAAACTCTGTATGTAGGTGAAGGTATAATGCTGCATAAGTAAGGGAAGTTGATGACAGAAAAGTTAAAAAGTCATCAAGTTTATCATGAAGCTTGCTTGTTAGATTACCATTAATGTCTCTTTCTAGCTAAGTTTCAAAATAGGAAACAGATTTGTGAGACTCTGTGGTATCTTTAATCACAAGCTCAACAGGATTGTTAGATTACCATTAATATCCTATCTACAACTTGTCTATTTAACAATCTATTAACAACAGTTATTTCTTTTCATGGGTCGAGTAGATATATCCCAGTGAACTTGCTTTGTTTCTTGCTTAAAATTCCACTTAAATAGTATTTTATTTCCCAGCCACTTAATTGTCCTTGTGGAGGCAGGAATATCTTTAAATGAAAAGAAAAGTGGTTTCTTAAACATAAACTTTTTTTACTCCTTATAAATCGTTAGTTGATACATGTATTAGTGTGTAAAACATTCACATATCACTACATCATTTACATTATGAAATAGGGATAAAACGTTGTATCATAATCCATACTGAAGCAAAACATCCATTCATTGTAACAGTTGATTAAGATATATAAAACATTTGAAAAAAATCCAAATTAAATTATAATTATTAATTTGTTTAATTTCAGTTATTGCAACAACACTGAAAAACAGGAAAATAACATCTATTCTGAATATAACAGGTTGCCTTTCCTTATAGTTAAACAAGTTTATTGCAAAATAGACCAGAAAACTCCTGCTTTAAACCAACTCCTGCTTATAACAGTAATCTTATTCCACATACATGTAGTACAACAGAGAATAACAATGATAAATGGAAGTAGGAAATCAGAGTCTCTCCTGGTTTTGTTATATCCATGTTTCACTGTACAATAGCTGTGGGTTATACAATATGTAGGAAACCTCCACATTCAACCTCATAATGCCTGAATGTTAAACAGAAAAATTATCTAAATATTATTTCCTTGTTCACTGATATACCTGAGGATTAAACAAATATAGCAAGTGTGCATCAAAGGGTAGGCTTGGAAATATGCATAAGGTATTTTGTTGAAAAAATCCTTATTTTCCATTTCTCTTGTGATGTCTGTTATAAATCAAGAATTATGAAAGAGAAATAAAAATTTGGGGCTGAAAAAGTTAAGCACCCTGTGAAACAAGGAAGCATACAATACTGCCAGAGTTTAAAAAAATACTGCAGTGAACATCAGCTCATTAGTATTTTAACACCAGTTAATGTAGTAGGATGCTTTTGTATAAAGTTTGAAAAAAAATAAATAAATAATCTGATAGTAATATAAAAGTTCTCCAATAAACTAAAAATTATACATACATGCATTTCTTTTAAATTGCTTTCTAACACATGTAAAGGTTCAGCCAATCTGTCTTTTGAATTATTATTTGAGTTGTTAACCAGTCTACAAATCTTTTGACCTAAATGTATATCATTAATTCTCTTTAAAAACTATTCCCCTTTTCAAGGAAATTTAAGTGTAAACATGCATCAATAAATAACCAAGGCAATATAAAAACTCTTGTTTAAAAAGTACACTTTCGAAGTGCATAACGAACTCTGCATGCAGTAACAATAGTACAGCACAATGTAGGGCTGTTGAGTCATCTGAGAAAATTCAACACATACAACTTTCTTTGGATGATTATAATACATGGATTTCGTTTTTAATTTAAAAAATCTAAATACAGCAACTACTAGATATAAAGCAGTCACAGAGGGAATTATTTCTGTGAACTGTTGAGCTTCAGAATGAAGAAAAAGTATGCTTAAAGACCTTTTAAACACAATCGTACAATTTACAGATAAATTTGATAAATGCACAATTTTTCATTTACAAAAGGGCATTAAATACATCCACTGGAGATTTAATAACTCCAAGTATCAAGTTTTTATATCACTCAGTCTCACTGTTGTCAGGACTGTGCTTGTACTTTATTTTGTCCTTGAACTGTGAACTATTTTCATCACAAGATCACTCTGCTTATTATTATACAGCTGTAAAGGCTGATGGATATATCCAAAAGAGTGGCAAGTAAATAAACATACATACACTCATAAATGCTTGGGGAAAATCACAAAAGGCACAAATTTTGTAGAAAAGTGTAAATATGAAGTAAGAAATTCTGTTTGGTCATTAATCTACTCTACAAAGTAAAAAAAAAAATGTGAGCATAATCTACAAAAGTCAAAACATATATAAAATTCTCATTTTTGATACTCTCCCCAATTTCTTCACATGATTTATCATTAAATCCATTGTCCACTTGAATTGGTAAATCATTATATATTCCGCTTCTGTGAAGAAGAGGAAATAAAATATTTAATACCTAAGACAATGCTGTACAAATTGCCCATCTACTACAGTTTGAGATGGTCCCTTTTTGAGAATGTTTTTTTTCCAAACACTGACATGATCCTTACACCACTCAGTACACCATCACACCTTCCAATGAATTCCATTATTTACAGAAGAAGAATTATGGATAATATAAGGATCACAGATCTTTGACCTTGGATGTCAAATGTGTCTCCTGGCTGCGCCTTGCCTGGAACTGTTTTTCTGTCTGAAGCCCTAGAAGTCCGCCTCTGCACTTGTAAACGTGAAGCCGTGAAAGATCTTTTGGTTCATTGTTTTGAGGAGTTCCTTGTCTGGAGGAGTTAGCTGAACTTTCTCCATCGTGAAGTCTTTGTCAAAGTTTGATATGTCATTGTCAGATTTCTGTAATGAAATTACAAGCAACGTTAATAAATCAGACTTGCATTTACTATAAATATCTAATCTACAAGTCACTTTTACCATGCATGTTTCACTGTTGAGTGAAATAAAGCCTTTTTGGTGATCATTTTAAAATAAGAATTTACAGATCAAACACTCAAGCAATCATCATCAAAATCTTGAAAAACTAAATTCTAAATATATTTTGTTTATTCAGCTTTACGAACTTCTATATGATTCTTCAAATAAATTTTGGACCAAAGAACAATAACTTGTAATATTCCTATGGATGTAAAAATCAATTGAATTGAAGTGTTGATTTTCTAATTAATAATGCTTTCTTGTCATCTTTTGCACTCTTACTTGAAGTTACTTCCTAATAAAAATCATGATATCATCTTATGAAATATACTTATATTTTGCTTCTGAAATTAGATTTGTTTTTGCTTTTTTTAGGAAGTACATGTATTCTAAAATAGTTGTGTTAACATTATAGCTTCATTAGCTTCCTTTACAGTTATTTCCCTTTGATTTTGGTAATATGCACAATCTTAAAGATTAAAGATAAGTCTTCTTATGTGTGACTTGGAACATATCTCTCAATAATTCACATATTAAATAAATTTCCTTTTGCAAGTACTTGAGGCCAAAGTTTGAGAAAGTTATCTTATTTCTTCTTTGTTTGCTTTGAAAGATTTCTTTTTTCACAGCTTCTAAAGCAATCTTTGCACCATCAAGCAAGCCATAATTTCAGACGACTTACGATTTTTGGTTTGAATGGTGGCTCGATCTGTCTGAGTTCCATTCGATCCCAATCTATATTTTTGAAGAATGCCTGAGATCTGATTGGACCAGCAGCACAGTCGGGCATGCCCAGCCTCTCTTTGGGATTACGAATGAACAACTGTAAAAACAAAATAGGATAACTAAGAATCTAGTCTTATTTTTCACATTTTATTAGACAGGCATAAAAAGTGATTCAGTTTGAAAGCAAACGGTGCTTCAACTTCAGCACTGCTTTCTAAAAGACTGGGCTTTCAGTAATTCACAAGCTGACCAGAATGAACACAAATTCTACTACGATTATTTGCTACTTCAAAGGAAAGCCGCGGACATTATTCTCCAATAAATCACGAACGTCATCAAAAAATTATCAGATCAGAAACACGTATAAAACCTGTGCATTTGAAATGTACATTTGACATAAGAATGAAATACGTATTTAAACCACATTGATGTGTCGTCTTTTGCAATTTAAACACTGTATATTGCAGAAAGTAGCTGATGAATGTACTAGGTTTCTAAGGCCAAGCAGGGCTGTTTCCCAAACCTCCCTCCGCCATATTTAAACTCCGTGATCTTGGTAATAAGTGGTAAAATTGGAAACTGATTTTGTTATCGTATATTCAAAAAGATTAATCTTTTAAGCTACAAACAAGAAAAGGCTAATTTTAATGCAGCGAAAGCTCAAATTGTCTGCACTCTATTCACAGGTAAACAAACAAATTTACACTCTGGTGTTAAATGGAACAGCGTTAAAGCAGCATGGTGACCTAATTCGATTCTCTATAGAGAAACGATCAGTCGTATTTTAGGGCTGCTAACTACATGTAGCAGAATAGAAATAAAGTCCGTGTTTTCGTGAATGATGCAGAATAACCTCCTCAGTCTCGAAATGTTGTTTGAAATATATCTTTCAAACAACATTTCTCGACCTCGGAGGTTATTCTGCAACATTCACGAAAACGCAGACTTTATTTCTTAAATAAACGCCCTTGTACAGAGTTAGTGACTGCAGTATACCTACCAGAACTCCATCCTTGTAATGAAACTCATAAAACTTAGACACCTACTAGGTTAAGCATAGAATCTGCCTCTTTGTAATATAACTCATAAAACTTATAAACAACACTCACCAGACTAAGCATGGAAGCTGCCTCCTTGGAAAGCCATCTTGGGTAGTGTGGAGTGTCGTTCATAATGGAATGGAACAAATCATCTTCATCATCTCCGTGGAATGGAGACTGACCAATCATCATCTCGTACAATAACACTCCAAACGACCACCAATCTACAGACTGGTTGTATTTCCAGCCTTTTAGAATCTACATAAAGAATTCACACAGCTTTAAACAAGTCAACACACAAAGTATCTGCATATTATTTTTTTTTCCTTTTCCTTTTGTAACTGATAATTTCCAAAAATTTAATCCAGTATAGAAATTCATGCAGACTTGTACAAGTAGAATATTTGAGAGACCACAATTAATGAATTTTTTTCCAAAAATATATTTTTCTTGTGAGTCATAATAAAATGATGCTACATGATATCATTCAATAAAGAATAAGTTTATCTATGCCAGGTCAGGTTTTTGATAAGGGGTTTCTGAGAGAAGGTCTGAGAGAGGTATTCTCCCCCCCTCACCTAGATTTTTTTTTGGTTGGTTTATGTATATGTGCATTCTTTACAATATATGCATGAATAAAGAATTTCATTTCAAAAAGAGGGTGCAATCTCATCCAATGCAACTTCTGTCCTGAGTGCCATGTTATCAAACATGATCAAATAAAATCCAATCTTCCTAAAGAAAAAATTTCAAATAAAAGTTTTCTTTAAAAAATCATAAAAATGGACATTTTTAAATCCTCTCTGTTGGAAATTTTTTTTACAAAGATCCAGCTCCAAATCTTCCTCATTACTTAAAGGACATCTTTTCAAAATGGAAAACTTTAGCTGAAAACATGCATTACATTGGGGGTTGTGTTTTAAAATGACATTGATTTGACGTTTCGTTGCGTCTGTGTAAGTTACCTCGGGAGCTATGTAGTCCGGAGTACCACAGAATGTCGTAGCTTTCCTCTCGTCAAACACGTTCAATTTACACATTCCAAAGTCTGCTATCTTTATGTGCCCCTCCCGATCCAACAAAACATTATCTAACTTGAGATCTCTACAAAAGAAAAATGCTCTGTTATAGAATTTACAGCTCTTCACATAGAACTACAGGCATATCAAATGATCCTGATATATAACACTTAAAATATATAGCATATCTGAATTATTGCTCATTACAAATCTCACTTCTACATGTAATAGAAAATGTTTCTTACACATCCACTTATTTACTTCTTATTATGTGGGAAATATATTAATAAAACAAACAGCAAGGCCACTAAGCTGCCATAATGCAGCCCTTTCCACTTCTTGAAATGATGAAAACATTACATAAAAGATTAGAGGAGTACATTGTTTCAGAGATTGAGTTCTGTGCATTTATTATGTTTACTGAATTTAAGGCCTCTTGTGAAAAAGGTAATACAATAAAACAAACAGCAAGGTATCTGGACACACGTCTATGCAGTTATCTTATTCAAAAGAAAATTTAGTAAGTTTTGTTTTTTGCACAAACTGTTACCATACCTATAAACAATCCCTCTGGTATGTAAATACTGTAATCCTAACAAAATTTCTGCACCATAGAATCTGAAAAAAGCATAAAGTTAACACTAGTGACAAAAATATAAAGTAAATGATGAAACTTGTATAAGTATATAGTGTCAGATGAAAGCTATTTTATATTTGTTCTGAAAAGATGTGCAAATATTCTTTCATCATGTTCATAACAAATAAAGATACCATGAAGTTTTTTCTTGGTATGATATAATTTTCTTTACAATTTTTTTTCTATCAGAAAATCAATGAGGAGATCCTTTCAGCTTCTGAGCTCAGGTTAAAATAATTCCCATTAAGAAAATATATAACTTGTTATTTACCTGGGAACATATCAAACTTTCTAGAGAGCTTTATATGACTTTGTGAGCCCAGGGCAATCAAACTTTCCAAAGAGCTGTACATATATTATTTACAGATCTGGGTACATTTCTTTCCAGAGAACATGCGTAACTCACAGAATTTGAATTGGGGCATAACACATTTCCCAAAGAGCTGTTTATAACTTACTGAGCTCGGGGCATGTCAAATTTCCCTGACAGCTGTATATGGAACATCAAATCCCCTCCATTTAAATACTCCATGACAAAGAAAAGATGGCTCTGAAAAAATAATTACACACTGGGTACTTTTTGTTCACTTACATATTCTATTGGGAGAAAAAATACATTACAGGTGATAATTTTGTGCATATCCATAAGTTAATTTATGAAACTCCATTTCAAAAAACAAAGCTGACATCCAAGTCAATGATATTATTTTCTTGACTATTCTTGAAAGAAACTTTTAATAGTATTTTCTGGTGTATCTTCTCTGGCCTTTCTGGGTAATACCTGTGTTATTTTTAATACTTGTCTGGTGTTTACTAATATCTTGTACTGTGTGGTGCAAGTATTGGTGAGATATGTAAGCATGATGATATCCCATAATACCCATTGTTATTCTATCACTGTATGTTCAAGTAGTACTTACTAGTGTATATACCAAGTAGAACTTACTGGTGTGGTGAAAGTACTATGTAGACGAGTTAAGTAGACGTGCTGACAGCCCAGGGCCAGTACTTGTTTCTCTTCCTTTCATGTGCTATATCTAGTACTAACTAGTGTACATTAGTAGTACTTACTGGTGTGGTGAAAGTACTATGTAGATGAGTTAAGTAGGCGTGCTGACAGCCCAGGGCTAACACTTGTTTCTCAATCATTGTACACTCGACGTCGTCATCCTCTAGAACCACATCTTTCTTCAGGACCTTGACGGCGTAATATTTCCCTCGACCTTTCAGCTCGGCTAACATAACCTTTAAAGACATGAAGCATGAATATATATAAAATATATATATGTTAATATATTTAAAATGCAGGATAAATGAGTAGTAATGTATACATGCCATTTGTATCAAATAAATAAATTTACATTTCTCTTTTTACTTGAATTCTAAGAATTGAAGAAAATATCTTACTTGAAAGATCAGGCTTAAAGAAATTCAGAGTCATACAAATGAAAATATATTGCATATATACTCGCTGAAAAGGAATGCATTTTAAATTCACCTTTCCAAAGCTTCCTTTGCCTAAAACTTTTAGGAAAACAAAATCGTTGGGGGTGAATTTTCGTCTAGGAGCAGCCGGTGGTTTACTGCCAGGGGGCTCCAGCGGGGGGCCATTTTTATCCCAGATTTGTTCGTATCCCTGAGCTTCATCATCTGAGCTGCTCTCCTCTTGGTTCTAAAAATAAATTCAAACAAATCTCTGAAACTCAAATGTAACCATAACTATTCAACTCTCTGCTTTATAAATGTCTACTTCAAACAATAAAACCTATGTGTATCTCTGATATCTAATATCCAACATTCTCTTGATATTAGTCCAAAATATCTGACGTTTTCCAGGCTTTGTTATGATTTTAATATTTTATGTTCAAGGAAAACATCAAAACCAGCCTCATTACGAAAACTGGAAATTTTGCCGTCTCCAAACGGAGTTGATTTTCAATACTTGCAAACCAAACTAAATGCCGAAATCAGAATTGATCATTAGCACAATGATTCTAGTACACAGCATTATTGATGAAAAGAAAATATCACTCCATATTTATATATCTTCAGGACGTGCAAGATTTTGAAATACAAAAAATGAGGACAAATCTTGACAGTCTGATAAAATGTTTTCATCAGATTGTTTATTTTATAAATTAACCCTAAAAACGATATTGGTTAAGTACTGAAAGTATTGTACTATTGATAACTTGTGAGTACGACATTTACTTCAGTTTGCAAGTATCTAGAATCAACCCGAGAATGCCGCCTCCGATTTCAGTTTTTATAATGGCACCAGTTCTGACATTTTCCTGGCCCCTAAAATATCAAAATGTTAATTAAGCCTGGAAAACGTCAGATATTTCTGACTATTTGATACAGAAACTAGATTCTTTCATATTGAATTCTTGTAATCAAACTTGCATGAGTGGAGCCCATCAATACTTTTTGTAATGAATAATTAATGCAGCTGTGCCACAAAATGTGATCATAACCTCCTGTATATATTAACGTTCAGTAATTGCTTCATAAAAAGCCTTTTGATCGCTGATTGAGAAGAGGGAAAAAAAAAGAGAGAAAGATGCTGCTTATTAACAAATGTGGAATATACCTATTCTTTATTAACCTTCATTTGATCACAGTTGGTAGATCTAATTCATACAAATTAGTTGGAGCCTTCTCAGCTAAATTTAGCTGAAAAGCTAAATTTCTTAATCTCTATAAAAATCTTCCAAATCACAGTTTTAGGTAGCTATATTTTAGTTGAGAGATGAAATATAGATTTTTTTCACAAGAATTAAAGGATGAAAAAGCATTTCACTTTATAAGACATTTTCTTAAAACCCTTTTGAAAGCCCCCCACCCACAAATTTTTCTTATCATAAACTCTGTAAGTAAAAATGCTTATAACCAACACAATTAGAATGAATTGACACTTACAGCAATGTGATTTTCATTCCCCAGGAATTTATATTATATTGAGAACTTAATGGAAATAACGAATTACGTTTATATAGAAGCAAAATCATCAGTCTTGCGTACTTCGTTATAGGCATGTTTTACTATATTTAGTATTCTTGGTAAATGTGTCAATTATGCATAAGGTTATTGATGCATTCAATCATCTATCATAAATTTATACAAAAATCTCACTTTACTAATGTGATAGTAGCATGCTATTTCATCATCTTTATCAACTACAACTGAATAACATTTCACACAGTCAGTCCATTAGAAAACCAATAGTAGACCTAGTATGAAGCTGACAATTTTTGAATGAAGAATTGTATTCATCAAAAGAAAATACAGTCTTATGTGACTTCAGAGTTTTAAGTCTAGAGAAATCATTCATACCTTCTTATTAAAAAAAATGCTTAAATTTGCTTTGGAAAAACTCTTCCTATACAGAAAACTAACATTTACATTGGCTATGAAATCAACTAGAACTGTCCAAACGGGACAAAATACCCCCCGCTGCGTTTTTCAGAAGTAAGTTTTTCAATAATTAAGATATGTATCAGACACGAATTATGAAATTTTTTCTTCCAGTGACCTTGAACTTCCCAAAATGACCTTGGGTCAAGGTCTTGACACACCCTTGGGTCATGGGCAATTTTTGAGTGAAATGAGAACCTACCAAGTTTATCCATAAGAAAGATATGGACCGGACACGAATTATGAAATTTTTCTTCCAGTGACCTTGAACTTCCCAAAATGACCTTGGGTCAAGGTCATGACACACCCTTCGGTCATGGGCAATCTTTGTGTGAAATGAGAACCTACCAAGTTTATCCATAAGAAAGATATGGACCGGACACGAATTATGAAATTTTTCTTCCAGTGACCTTGAACTTCCCCAAATGACCTTGGGTCAAGGTCATGGCACACCCTAACGTCTTGGGCAATCTTTGTGTGAAATAAGAAGCTACCAAATTTATCCATAAGAAAGACATGGAACGGACACAAATTATGAAATTTATCTTCCAGTGACCTTGAACTTCCCCCAATGACCTTGGATCAAGGTCATGACACACCCTTGGGTCATGGGCAATCTTTGTGTGAAATGAGAACCTACCAAGTTTATCCATAAAAGATATGTCTCAAACATGAATTTTGAAATTTTTCTTCCAGTGACCTTGAACTTCACCAAATGACCTTGGGTCAAGGTCATGACACACCCTTGTCGTGGGCAATCTTTGTGTGAAATGAGAACCTACCAAGTTTATCCATAAGAAAGTTATGGACCGGACACGAATTATGAAATTTTTCTTCCAGTGACCTTGAACTTCCCCAAATGACCTTGGGACAAGGTCATGACACACCCTTAGGTCATGGGCAATCCGGAGTAGTAGATTCTAATGTAGGAAAGATATGGACCGGACACGATTGCACAGACAGACGGACAGACAGACAGACGGACAGACGGACAGACAGACAGACGGACAAGGTGATTCCTATATACCCCCCCAAACTTCGTTTGCGGGGGGTATAAAAATGGGGCATAATTGATAATGAAGGGTGTGTAACAATTCTGATGAATTGACCAATGAATGTAAGCGTACTAAGCGTACCACAGTTGTGCCTGCCTTTCGTTGACTGACAGAGGGCGCTTTCCTGACCTGCTGAAGAACCTCGGCTAACATCTTCTGATTTACTCCACACAAGTTAGGCATGAACTTCTCACACTTCTTGTGACAATTTGTCCCACACACTACAAAAGTATACAGAGCTTAACTTCTAGCCTATTCAGTGTAGGTTTCTTTTCTTTTAAAATTAATTCAATAAGAGAAAATGCAACTGCATGAAAAAGGAATTGAAATTGCTTCTTTTGAAAAAAAAAGTTTTAGGTATAAAATTAAGATCACCTTGATTTTCTCTGACTCTGACCAGTTTTCACATGCACAAATAAATTGTAAAGTGTCTATCAATTTCTTTTTACCTTCACATTTGAGCCCCTGTCTAAACAACCCATACAGCAGAGTTCCACAATGATCACAAAATGTAGGAGACATGTAGTTGTTGACCTTGAACCTGTGGGGGACATTGATGTTAAACCTCTCTGACATCAGCTAAAACCAAAAATCAAAATTATAGTAAAAACCATGGTAAATAGGTGAAAACTTGTGGTCAATAAAGTAGAGCCATGCAAGAAAATCTACTGAAGCTGAATGCCCTTGTACTACACTGAAGCTCCCCCCATATTTCACTGAATCCCCCTATATAACACTGAAGATCCCCTATATTACTCTGAATGCCCTCCATACTACACTAAAGGACCCCTGAACTACACTGCAGGTACCCTGTACTACACTGAATGCCCCTTATACTACACTGAAGGCTTCCTACACTACACTGATGGTACCCTGTACTACACAAAAGGTCTCCTATACTACACTGAAGGTCCCCTATAACCCACTGAATACACTGATGGTCCCCTATACTACACTGAAGGTCCCCTATTCTACACTGAAGGCCCCCTGAACTACACTGAAGGTCTCCTATTCTACACTAAAAGTCCCCTATAACCCACTGAAGGTCCCCTGTACTACATTGAAGGTCTCCTATTCTACACTGAAGGTCTCCTATTCTACACTGAAGGTCCCCTGAACTACACTGAAGGTCTCCTATTCTACACTGAAGGTCTCCTATTCTACACTGAAGGTCCCCTGAACTACACTGAATGTCTCCTATTCTACACTGAAGGTCCCCTATACTACACTGAAGGTCTCCTATTCTACACTAAAGGTCCCCTATTACCCACTGAAGGTCCCCTGTACTACATTGAAGGTCTCCTATTCTACACTGAAGGTCCCCTATTACCCACTGAAGGTCCCCTGTACTACATTGAAGGTCTCCTATTCTACACTGAAGGTCCCCTATTACCCACTGAAGGTCCCCTGTACTACATTGAAGGTCTCCTATTCTACACTGAAGGTCTCCTATTCTACACTGAAGGTCCCCTGTACTACACTGAAGGTTCCCTGTGCTACACTGAAGGTCCCCTGTACTACACTGAAGGTCTCCTATTCTACACTGAAGGTCTCCTATTCTACACTGAAGGTCTCCTATACTACACTGAGGATCCCCTGTACTACATTGAGGATCCCTTATACTACAAGGAAGGTCCTATACACTACACTGAAGGTTTTCTGTACTACACTGATGGTCCCCAGTACTACATTGAAGGTCTCCTTTACTACACTGAAGGTACCCTGTACTACACTGAAGGTCCCCAGTACTACATTGAAGGTCTCCTTTACTACACTGAAGGTTCCCTGTACTACACTGAAGGTACCCTGTACTACACTGAAGGTTCCCTGTACTACACTGAAGGTACCCACTGAAGGTTCCCTACACTACACTGAAGGTTCCCTGTACTATACTGATGGTCCCCTGTACTACACTGAAGGTACCCTGTACTACACTGAAAGTCCCCAATACTACACTGAAGGTCCTCTATACTACACAGATCCTTTTTTATATTTAATACATACATGAAGTCTACACTGAAGGTCCCCTGTACTACACTGAAGGTCCCCTATAATACACTGAGGATCCCTGTACTACACTGATGGTCCCCTTTACTACACTGATGGTCCCCTTTCATGACACTGAACTGACTACACTGAAGGCATAACAATGAAGGTTTATTACATATGTACTACACTGAATTTTTAACTATTATCAACATTACAAGATAACTGCAATAAAGGCCTTTTACTGACCTTGGTTTCACGGCTGTCTTTGGCACTACCAGGACATTGTCCAAGGATCTTTTCATGGCATTTCTTATGGACAGCACAATTACATACTGGAAAAAAAACATAACAAGAATCTAAGTCAGTAAGTCACTAATCATATCCTTTTTTATATTTAATACATCATGGTCACACTCCTCCAAGTCTAGAAGAGTGAATGCCTTGAAGTTGAAAGTCTTTGCTTTCATGATTTTATTGACTGACTAGAATGTTAAGCAAACATGAATTTATTATATTTAATATTTTTAATTATTTTCAAATTACAAGATAACTACACTTACTTTTACACTGGTAGCCTTGTTTGTTGAGTCCCCTGAGTGAAACATAATAATATTAATGTAATGTATATGACAGGGTAATAAATATTCTATCATCAAATAGTTCAAATTCATGAAATATCAATTTCATTTAGCAATTTATGGATATGACAAATGATTTAAATATCATAAAAAATACTCTCCACTGCAAAAAATATACTAACCAAAGAAATTCATTACAGAATGAACAGTAAGTAGGCTGTCGGAAAAATTTGGCAATGAACTGGTGACCTTTGACCTCATGAACTTTCTGTTGTTTAATGGCCCCTCTTCTCCTAGTGATTCCTCCCCCTTTTTCTGATTCTTGTGGAAATTGTTCTGAAAAGATATATTCAACTGCAAAAATGTTCACAGAACATCCATTTAGAAGTATGAAAAAGTAATTATATGACATATTTTTTTATCTTATTTTCCTGACATATATTTTAATGAACCTTAAATTACTTTTTGAAAAAATCAAGGCAAACTACATGAAGAATGACCATGATTGCACTGACTTTCATTGTAAATAAATGATAGGTTTCATTACTTGCAATCAATACAATCATCACAGCAGCATTGGTATGTTTTTCTGTACATAAACTGTAGTTAACAGTAGCAGTATTTATTAAGATTATCCAGGCTCTTCAAATATACACACACAAATTGATCTAGCAATATCTACTGGTATGTTTACTAATTTATAAAAAATTCAAAATTTCAATGGCTGACACTTAACAATAAAATTAAGCTTGGTAAAAAACCTGTTATATCAAAAGTTATATACTTTTCAAGATTCTGTTCATTTCCTACCACATATCAATAAACACTGCACCTATGCATTTTTATAATTACACCTTGATTATATATACACAACACAGCAATGCTATATAGCCATGATACATCATTTTGAAAGCAGGGTATTAGGACAGTACCTGATGCATATACAGGGATAACTGGCAATAGGGCTGTTTAGAAATGAGTGATTGCAAAAAAAATATCCAACTAGACTGTAGCTCTACTGCTTTGTACCTATTATAACTTATGAATGAAAAACACTTCTTTGTCTTTTTATCCTTTTATTTATAAAGAACTTTATTCGGTAATAACCAATATTAGCCCCCCAAAGCAAACTTTTGGAGATGTTTTATTTCTAAATTTGTAGTCAAAGCACAATAAGTAATAATTTATTGAATTCAAATCAAAATTGTACAGAAAAAAAAGATATTTTGGGGGGATGTGTGAATCAATATTTTGATATAATGATTTATTGAAATCAATAGGAAAACAGTTAAAGTAAAATGAAAGATTTTTAAAGAAACTAGTTTGTGATGTCATAAAAAAAAAAATTGTAAACTGCTTTGACACTATAATATTTTCTGTTAATTTATATTTCTCATACAATTTATTGAATTCAGCACATTTCAGGAAATCAAAAAACCAAATATATGCAATATACCGCATATAGTTCTTTGTAGTGCAACAGTAATTTATTGAATTCAAATCAAAATTGTAAAAAAAAAAGGGGGGGATTTGAATTAGCATGATTTATTGAAATCAAAGGAAAACTGTAAAAGTTGAGAGAGAAATTACCACTGTCTTAATCAAAAGAAACTCAATTTTTACTGAATTACAGATGTACTCATTACAACAGACAAACATAACAGCTCTAAAGAGTGCAGACTTTACCACGGCATGATTAAGCTTTTATGATCTTTGTGTAAAGCTAAAATATATTAATATCATTTAAATGGGTTATTTTTTTCTGATAAGATTTGTCATATTTATTGATTAAAAACCTAGACTTAAACTAAATTATTCATAAACTTTTATCTGATTGTTAAAATTCGAAAATTATATCTAGACTAATTATGTTATACTGTTCACCTTAAACATGCACTCCAAAACCTATAAGTTACAGATATTAGTATTTATTTCTTACAAAATAGCCCACAGATGATATCCAAAAGTTTTTCAAATTACAAACAAATGCTTTTAATCAAAACTAAATGAAATGAGTGGAACTAAAGTCGTGAATTTTCAGTATGATTGGGTGATAGAATTTGTATGACAGGGATGAGTTAAAGCAATGACTAGCACACAACCGATTGTCTAACACTACAGGCAAACACACAACCAAAGTAAACTACAGGCAAACACACAACCAAAGTACACTACAGGCAAACACACAACCAGAGTAACACATGGAAGCAGGCAAATCAATGGTTTTTACCTTTGGACTTGAGGGAAGGTCCTGGTGCTACCTCTACAAACATAACACAATCAGTAACAACACATACATGCTCAAGTCATGCCACATTCTGCATCATTTCATTCCACATTGCCCTTTTCTTTGATTAGTTTTCTTTCTTTAATATCGGTTTTGTTTACAATAATTCTATTCTTTGGCATTTAATTTTCAAGTAGTGTTCATTGACAGAAAAGTTTCATGAAAATTTTAGTGCTATAAAAACCCAATGCGATACCCAACATCTTTTACAAATAGCTTGGTTACAATTAAATTCCATGGCGTTCATGAACATCCTATTGTTCAAAATGTCAAGAAAAAAGAAAAAAACCTTTCTCATGCCTCATATCTACCTTATGTGTACATAAGTTACTGAGCTAATAGACTTGTACTGACATTTTAATTCATAAATTCAAAACTTTGTTTTGAATCTGTATCTAATAATTCCAGATAGTTAATATGAATCTACATAAATTTAATTGTTAAATTGTGCTATCTAACAATGGTGTAAGAAAAAGCCTTAAATTCTAAAAGGAAATTCAGTAAAGCTATAAGCAGTTTCCTTATAAAACTTTGACCTTCAAATAGTGAACAACTTTCAATTGAAAAATAGATTTAATAGGTCTGCGACAAAATAAATCCAATCAGTTACTTATCTCAACTTTTCCATACTTATAAGCTGACATATTGTTTTGGGGATGGCCATTATAAAACTAAATTAATATTACAGTACGACATTTCCTTAATCTTAAAATAATTATGTTTTATATATATGTTTATGCATGTGATGAATGTGCAGGTTTAATATATCAGTGTGATCAGAACTGCTTTTATCACTGTGACATTTTATTTTTACTATGTCCTTTTTTGGGAGTGTGTCTCAATGTCTAGATTTTAGATAATAACTCTTATTTTTTGTAATACTATACACTCCATATGTTTTGTTCTTAATGTTAATAACACATGAGAATGCAATGAAGAGTCATTGAAGAGAAAAATCTTCGTGCAGTCCAGGTACATATTGATGAGAGGCTTAATCCACTTAAAATCAAGTGTAAATGGTTCTCCCACTATTTCCCTTCCGACTGATGACACAGTTAATGACTCGCTTCCTTATTCCAGTCCACACTTAGTGACAACATTCATATTAGTTAAGCATTCACTGAATCCTTCAGTTGCTGAGAGCAGTAGTGCTACCACACATAATCCACTTCCACACAAAATAAAGTGCTTTTAATATGGTTCTCCCATTCTTTTTTAGTATATTTCCCATGGTTCTCCTGACCCTGGGGCCTTGAAATTCACAATTCTTAAGGCCCTTGCTCATTATAATATACATCTGCTTAATAATTTTCAAAGATTTAATTTATTTTCACTATACTAGAGCCCTGCCTTAACACCAGAACCCCTCCTGGGGCCATAAAATTCACAATTTTGGTAAAGGCATCTTGCTCATCAAAACTTTATAGTTTATTTAATATAGGAGAGAGAAGGAAAATCAAATATTTAAAGGAATCATAACTTTGCATTTAGTTAGTTTATTTTCCATTTTAGTGTGTATTTTTATTTCCAAGTTTTGTTAATTGTTTTTTAAATAATATTTTAATATTTTTCTCTTTTCTTCTGCTAAGAGCCTTTTATTTAACCATCATTCAATATTATGAGACTATTATAGTTACAGACTGGTTAACATAAGGACATAGACAGCTTGTCAATAAATGACAAATCACAGAATGGCCCTGACTCTGCAGCAATATAATTATAAACATTGCCATTTGAGGATACAATATCTTACATCAGTTTGTTGCAGAAAAAAAAAATGATTTTAATGATGATACTATTAATACTTCATTTCCTGAGATTTTTTTCCTGATCCATTCCTTTGAAGCATGGTACAGTCTATCTCTGGTATATAGTTATGTACTGAATTAAGTCTCAAACAAAAAATTTTCTTTAATTTAGGAAAATATATAAGGAAATCAATTTCACTTCTAAATTTATATTCATAAACACTTTTTTATTGTCTCTATTATATGTTATACAAAATTCAAAAAGCCACAGAACTCTGATTATATTTCTATTATCTAATCAAATCAATTTTAATTTAAAGAAACAGACATTAGGTGTCTTGACTCTGAACTGTACAGTTAGCACTTAAAGCAATACAGGTAGAAAGTGATGGTGGAATTTTCTATTCCAAGATGCAGAAACAAAAACTGACACATTTTTTTTCATGCCCCAACACTTACAATTTCTACAAAATAAATCAGTTGAGTAATAAAAGCTCATGTATTTATACCTTCTGTCTCTGAGAAAAACCGAATCTGTATTTGTAGTCTACCAGAAGGCTTCAAATCCAGCTGAAAAAAAATATGTTACAGATTATTATTCAAATATTCCCAGAGTGGGGAGATCAGACAAACAGACAAAGTGATTACTGAACAACATTGGCAATGATCTTTTATTCATGAACATGATCTAGAGAAAAATAATAGCTGGCCAGTAAAAATTTGTAATCTACTTTCAACACAATGCCTAATTCCAATGTACTATCAGAATCATCTACAAACTAAATGTCAATCACATCAGATATTTATAAGGAGTCATTATTTTCTCTGGAACTACAGACACAATTCTCTCTTCAATTACAGAGGAAAAAAGAAGCCAGATGAAGAGAGAGGGGGTGTTAGAGTAATCACAATCGGTACAGAGGGAACATCAATCGTGAACAAAATGCCAGCTCTCAGGGGATGGACTTCATAACAGTGTATGACAGTGTACAAAGGTTAGAAAAGGGTGTCTGATATATGAGAAATCAATCCTCATACATCTTGTCTATCAAATCTCTTCCAACTAATCATATGGCGGCCCTTATTACATCAGCTTAATAATAATATATTCTCTCTTTTTTCACCTCCTTTAACACAAAAAAACCTGATGAGACTAGAGAGATTACAATGTGGCAGAGCTCATAACTGCTGCAGTTAAAGCTTCCCTTCTGAAAAATAAACCTCATGTAACAGGGCAAGGCTGAAGATATTTATGAAGGCCTCCTAAAGTGGCAGTTAAGTGCTAAAATCTTCTGTTCCTCCAAGTGTTACACAAGAATCAATACACAGAGAAGGCTGCCAGCTTAGCTGTTATTGGATCTAAATGCTCAATCAAATTACAGATCAACTCAAGTCAAATGAAGCTATCATATTGTCTTTGTAAAAAATGACCAATCTAGATTTATCTATTTATCTGCCTTATAGTACAAAATATTTATCAAGAGATTAAGAAAAAATGGATAAAGATTTCTTGTAATTATAAATCATACCAATGAGGAAAAAAAACACTTCTATGATTAAAATGAAGTAATGTTTTTTTTTTCAAAATCATACACAAAAATATCCACCTCATAAGTAAAAACTATTGCTATACAAAATTGTAAGTTGTGGAAAAAAAATTGTAAATTCCAAAATGCTAAATTGAATCCTTATTTATAATTTGTGTTTTAGTGTACTAAATATCTTGCTAGGTACTTTATTCGCTAGCTGCTAAAAAATTGTGCCAAAAATTGGAAATTATTCTATATATTTCAGTGAATATAGCTTTGTCTGAAGAATTAAATGTTTCAAGGGTTTTCTACACAAAGAGCAAGAAGACATGGAAAAAGACTGCTGAATTGTCTTGAGGATTATTTTTAGCCATCAATGAATGATCCACTGGCTCCTAGCTACACAGTGTGATTTGGACCAGAAACAACTTTCTGTCCTAATTAATTATTTACAACACGGGATCCATTAGAACGCAATTAGGTTTTTTTGACATTCTCTATGGTGTGAAAGCTTCGAGCTATAGTGCTTTGCAACAATAATTGTAACCCTAGCCTACCATTCCCTTCTTACCATGTCTACAGTGATGCATTTCAGGCCATGTCTTCTCTTTTTACTCTAATATTCAAATAACTGGACACTTTTATGCTGCAGACATTTTTCTAGCTTTACAGGAATGAAAAGGTTACTGACAATGTGACAAACTTATTCCATATTCCACTATCCAAAGCCAATTTGCCCTTGGCTTAAGTTACCCATCTTTTTCAAGAAAAAGTAAGCCAAACTCTAGGATCATGGTTTTATGGTCAAAAAATTGCTACTGTATGAAAAGTTATTTAACAAGGAAATTATATTATGTGAAATATGAAAGCCCTAGCCCTAATCATTCAGAAATTGTAGCACCCCTCAAGTTTGCCCAAATTAGGTCAAACTCCAAGGTCAAACAACATAATGGGGTCAAAAATTGTTGGCACCAAAACTAAAGGAAGTCATTAAACTGTCACAATGAAAGCCCCTGCATCAATCAAAAGTTATAGTGAAGGTGAACAGAATTTCAAAAGTAGTAACTTGCCAAGTCAAGGTCAAGAGTCCAAATATACTCGCCGTCAATAGAAACGCAACACCCTAATTTTAGGTTGAAAATTATATACGGGTTATAACTATGTACCAAAAATATACGGACAACTTTTACTTTGCCAAATCAATTATTTAACGGTTGAATGAATTTCATTCCATTACCGGAAGTTGCTTTTTAGCCCTCTTAACAGAATTCAAAATTTTCCATTTTTAATAAAATTTAAACAATATTTTGGGTTTCCAAGGTTTTGAAACTGTTAATCATAAGTATTGTTTTAAAAGGCCGGTCTTTCTTTACCGGATGTGATGCCTATATTTACTCAAAATGACTGATTTTCATTGCTAATACTGGAAATTCTCAAAATAAAGAAAAAAAGAGCTGCAGATGCAAATGTACACTATATAACGACCTATCAGGCTCATGTGTTTCAATAGCATTAATTGTAGTTTCTTGACCGGAAGTCAAAACGTTGCTACACTACGCCAGGTTAGAGAAAATTCGACCGCAATATCTGAAAAACATGTATTTAAAAATGCCCAAGAATATTAATTTCGCTCAGGTTAAGACATTAATAAACTTAATGCATGGTAGAAATCGGGCTGCATTTGTTGTATAAAGTACGTTTTCATTAAATGGAAGGGGGGATGTTTTTAGATTGAACGGGTATTTGTTTCTTTCTGAGGTCTAAAAATACATTTATTGTTTAAATGGAGCATTAATTTTTTGTAAATTTACTTTTTACCTAAATATATTCATTTTTATCGTTATCATTAAACTTTAGAAGGTAACACATAACTCTTAAAACATCCCCCCTTCATGCTATCAGTCTTTTTGAGGAAATATAGGCATCACATCCGGTGAAGAAGGAAGGATTTTTTCCCGGCCTTTTGGTACAATAATTATGACTAACAGTTTCAAAACCTTGGAAACCCAAAATATTGTTAAAATTTTATTAAAAATGGAAAATTTTGAATTCTGTTAAGAGGGCTAAAAAGCAACTTCCGGTAATGGAAAGAAATTCATTCAACCGTTAAATAACTGTTTTGGCAAAGTAAAAGATGTCCTAACTTTTGTGGTAAATAGTTCTAATCTGTATATAATTTTCAACCTTAAATTAGGGTGTTGCGTTTCTATTGACGGTGAGTATATTTGAAATCATTGGAAAGGTCTTGTCACAGGGAATATTAATGTAAAATTTTAAACTACTAGCTATGGTCAAGATTCAAGTTTTTACAGACAAACAAAGAACAAACCTAGATATATCTGCTCCTGAATTTCAGGTACCAGGAGCATAAAGTGGGTCTTTGAACATTCAGACTTCACTGTTATTATATAAAATTGTCCATATAACAACAAAAGTATCATATGTATTTATGTTTTTCTTTTTCAAGATTCAAAAGGTCAGAATCTTGATAAATATCAGCTAAATTCTTCTTGATATCCACTCTCCTATTGGTGAATCTGAATCTGGCAGACCTCACAGGCAGTACGACTTTACTGTCTTACCCATGTAGTGGATATGCTTCCGTCCCTGCATTTGTCAGCCAGGGCTCGAGCGCTGATGGTCACCTCAGCCAGCATATTGTTCGGCTTCTCATTGACAATCATGTTAATGACTCGACCCTCGTAAATGTGTGCATCGAAACAAGTGTTCCATTCCGGGTATATGGTTCTCTTCTTCTGTACATATTGTGGTTTCTGACCTGTAACATAAATATTTTGAATTAACATGTATATATATAAAATTCTTCTCTAGAAAATAAATACATTAGGGTGTGTTCAAGATTTTACTACGATCTTAAACGATATGTTACTCTTTGATAGGGCTTAAGAAAAACCTAAATTCATATGGTGCATTCAAAAAAATATGAAAATATCAAGCATCATAACCTAAGACTTCCCACAAAGATACTGAATGCAGCCAAGAACAAACCCATCTTAGACTAATAATGCATTGCAAGCAGAAGATCATATCTAAATTTTTGTTCTGCATTGATCTGATCTGAGAACATATTGGGTTTTTTTTTACTCTTTTTAATTTTAACTTATTTGAGAGACATGGTCATCTTTAGCAGACAATTTTCAGTCATGGTACATTAAACACTGTATAAGAAATGTGCACATTTTGGCAGCAGTTTAAATTACATGTACCTTTCAGTTCAATGAAAGATCGGTAATGTTTAAAAACCCTGGCCTGGAATCTGGATATGACAGAAGAAGACTTAAATAAATTTCCCTATCATACCTTCTCACCAGTTATCAGAGCTTATCATCGTATTAAGCAATGATGAACATGAATTTTTTAAACCAATGTTCAAATGCTCTGTTTCTGCATGTCTGCATACTAAGGCCTTCTATGGTACAGCAAGTACACAGAGGTCGTGTAAAACAAGTCATATATAGACAGACAGATTAGGCTATGACCTATTCCCACTGCCAAAGCAGACAAAGCTGATCAGATTTAGTACTCTAACTCTAAGACATAGACATTTACACAGACAATATCTGCTTAATGTGTGAGTGTTGCATTTAGAGACCATCTACAGTACAGATAGCAGATGTCAAGGCCAAAATGCAAAATGTACATAGATAAATTATGTTTTAACCTACTGTAAACTTATTATATTTAGCGGTGTATTCTAGCATTTAGCAAGTTTGGCGGACAGCAGAATTCGCTAAATCAAGTTCACCTCTAAGTGTCTTGTAAATCATACATTTATATCTTACTAGCACATTCAGACAGCTCTAAATCAAATCTACACTAACTTGCTGAAAATTTCTGCCAAATATTGTTCACGCCAAATATAAAACTTTTACGGTATTCCCTTTACCAAAGCAGACAAAAATTATTTTAGTAAATTTACCATGAAAGACAAACCATCTGCTTTGTAGGCATGGCTTTTTGGAGGCGAAGGGGTGGAGAGAGGGATAAAAGCAGAGCTCCTTTAGGTCTCAACTCTTCCTTTCACTTTTGACATTATCAAGTGATTATAGACTTATTTTTCATAGAGAATGATCCGTAGGCTTTAGGCTTCTCTTGCCCCAATGAATTACAGTTGTATCAAATTACATGATACAAACAACTTGGTGTCTGAGTTATTCTGCTTTGTCCTACAAGTTACAATTATTTATAGCTCTGAACACTGAAAGTTTGGCTTCTAAGTCTTCCATGGCACATAGATTCATAAGCACTTGTAATCAAAACCAATTAAACTCTTGATTAAAAAGATATACTTATTGTGATCATGGTGATGTTATTACAAAGATTCAATCATATCTGATGAAGACAAAATTATATTTTTGAAAGAAAGAAAACTTGAAAAGAATCAAACAGAGCCAATCAAATAGTTGGCTTAGTGCCTTGTTCTTGTAATATTGGATTGTCTACCAATCATTGTGATAATTGGCATAGCTAACTCTGCAATGCTATATTTCTAAAGTGATTGGACAGACTTTCTCATATCTAAATTACAGATTCTTTTCTAACAACACAAATGCCTTTTGTATTTTGTACTTAAGCCTATACATGTATGTGTAAGAAAAAGCTTACATTGGAGCCATCTTTATTCTGAGAGTTTCGTGGGTGTCTCTTATGATTAAGCAAAAATTACAGCTCTAATCTCAGAAAGTAAGATTTGCCATTATCCTTCATTTACACTATAAAATTTTCTCACTTTCTGAAAATGACACAATCTGTGGCTAGTTTGCCCCTGTTTCTGCAATACCTTGTTTTCTGCCAGATTAAGCCATGATTAGGCTGCACAATAGTGTAAATATTCCTGAACCAGTATACTGTGATTCATCAACAGTACTAGTATACTGGTAAAATGCTTATATATTGGCTTGGGATTTCTGAGGTAAAAAACATGAAATGCAGGATGTTTTCTATTGTGAAAAAATGGAAGGTTGCTGTTGTATGGTAGTCTCGTTCAACCAGACGCTCGGCTGTCTCCGTAAACTCCGACCAGCAGAGAGTCTGGTAAAGAGTCACATTAGCGGTTGTTACCGTCAGAGGGCGCTATCTTGTTTACATTTTGATGACCTTTTTTTGAAACGAATATTTAACATGTTTCTTCTGATAGACTGTGAGTTTATATTAATAAACTAATCTTTAATTTTGGACATAAAAAACGAGTAATTACAATATCAATCGAGGAAATATGTATTTCGCAGGTAGCTACACTACTTTCACTTTAGCTTCCGGAAATATAAAACATGCTACACATTTTTAAAAACACTTACCTATAACCCGTTAACATTACCGTATACAATAAAATTATTCCTCTTTATCTGCTTTAAATTTTAGACATTTAACCTTTAAAACTTTAAGTTATTTTTCTGTCGATTTACCTTGTATTTATTTAAATCGTGTAGGTGTGTTCTTTTCAGCCAATCAAAAACTTTACCAGAATTTCGGTAAGCCTCGTTTTGGTGTTACAAACGATATTACGTATCTTTACCAGACCCTCTGGCTGGTTGTCTGGTTGAACGAGACTAGTTGTATGGTTGCATTTCATTGCAATTAAAAACTGCATTGTTCTCAACAAGAACTTTTCGGTACAATGTATTTACAATTTTTTTACACTCTGCTTATATAACAGAGGTTAGTAATATAAGAAAAGAAGATTTTAACTGTTTTCTCAAAAACATTGCAATAGATGTATTGCAATACAGTTCAAAATTTCACAGTATATTATACAGTTATTGACTGGGTATGAGGGCAACATATGATTTGTTGGACCTGAAGGTGAAAATGTTGCCCGAGGCCGCAGGCCAAGGGCAACATTTTCACCTTCAGGTCCAACAAATCATATGTTACCTATAACTGTTTTGTTATACCCTTCACTGCTCACTTAAAACTGATCAATTTATTCAATACACGCTATATAATCAATTATTTTTATGGAAAATTATGGCTTCTTTAGTAAATTGAAAACATCAAGCTGAGAAAGAACAAAATCAATTATATTCTATTGTAACAAAAATTATTCATCACAAAACATATTAACCGTGCTGTTAGCAATAACTCTTGTAGCTCTTAACTTCGGCTATTTTGCGATATTCGATGATTAATTACTTGTTTTCCAACTTATGTAAGACCGGTCAAATATATATTAACAGTTCTTTTGTTGGACTTTTTATTAGTAATAAATATATAGAATGATATTCATAAGGGTATAACAATACAATATGAAGTATGCAGCTTATTACATGTACCAGCCCTAGCAACATTCTACACTGTCAATATTTATTTAAACTTAATTAAAGTTGCTCCATGCATTCTTATTTTCCACAACCAATATATATTGTCACTGAAGTGCAGTAATGCATTAATTGTAATGATTTTTATGACAATTTGCCGGATAAACATTGGCATAATTTCAGTCCAGCTAATTTAGTAGCTAATATATTCATAATTTTAAAAAATGTTCAACATTTAAGTGCTGCAGGGTTGTATAATATATAAATATTTATAGTATTACTAATGATACTAAAAGTGTAAATTGTTTTACTGCTTTTGATACTTAGAGCATTTACCTGAATGACATAGCTAGGGCATATATATTATATGGCCAAATTTCATTCAAAAATTGTTCACACTAAATATAATAATCTCATAAGCAAGATGGGTTAACTATCGAACATTTTTTCCTGTTTAACACTGCATGCTGTGCACTTGATCATAAAGCACAGCTTTGTGAGCTTTAATGCATGGTTAATAAAACTCTTGTAATACATAGAGGTAAACCATCTAGACTGGAAGGCTTTCCTGTGACACAGACAACTGTTTGACGAGGAGTAATTATAGATCACACAACAGATTTATTTGAAGGGTCTGAATACAGGGAATACTTAACTCTTAATTATCTCCTGTGTTTTAATCACAGTTATTTGCACATTTAAAATCAATATTTTCATTTGCATTGAAGCCTTCAGGTTGAGATCCAAACTAAAATTAAGTTTACTCGAGAATTATAACAGCAATATCAACTTAAGATGAAACAATAAGATGGCCAAAAATTGTGCAGTTAAAAAATGGTTATACAAAATTCTGAATCCAAAAAAACAACAACAACAACAACAAAAACAACTATATATAAACAATGTCAACCACAATTCCCATTGATGTTAAGCACTCAATTTCTTGTTTAATTTATAAGCTAATGTAAACTATATAGCAATATATGATTCTTTGAGAATATTAACTTGCTCCATGGGACAAGTATGCATGTTGACATTTTCACTTGCTTTGGACAATCTGACAACCACTAAAGTTGATTCCTGCAACCTGCACTAATGTTAATTCCTGCAACCTGCACTAATGTTAATTCCTGCAACCTGCACTTATGTCAATTCCTGCAACCTGCACTAATGATAATTCCTGCAACCTGCACTTATGTTAATTACTGTAACCTGCACTTATGTTAATTCCTGCAACCTGCACTAATGATAATTCCTGCAACCTGCACTTATGTTAATTCCTGCAACCTGCACTTATGTTAATTCCTGCAACCTGCAGTAATGTGCATTAATCCTGCAACCTGAACTAATGTTAATTCCTGCAACCTGCACCAATGTTTAATCCTGCAACCTGAACTAATATTAATTCCTGCAACCTGCACTAATGTTAATTCCTGCAACCTGCACTAATGTTTATTCCTGCAACCTGAACTAATTTTATTCCTGCAACCTGAACTAATATTAATTCCTGCAACCTGCACTAATGTTAATTCCTGCAATATGCAGTAATGTTGATTTCTGACAACCAATAAAGTGAATTCCTGACAACCACTAATGTTTATTTCAGCAACCTGCACTAATATCAGTTCCTGAAAACCACTTATGTCTATTTCTGAATACCATTTATGTTGATTCTTGAACACCACTAATTTTGATTCTTTACAATCACTAATTTTGATTCCTTACAACCAATTATGTTGTTTTGTTGAAAGGAACCTTGTGCAACCTGCACAAATGTCAGTTGCTGACAACCCTGCATTAATGTTGATTTCTCACAGTACCACTAAATATTGAGTCCTGACAACTACTTATTTCGATTTTTGACCTTTTTTTTTTTTTTTGGTATAGTGGCTTCAGCATTCAATATTGGGAAAATTCATAATTGAGAAAATTAGGATACTCAATGTCTATTAAAACACATTTTTATTCTGATCTTGTTATCAGCTTGATCATTACTAATGAAATTTTGGGAAATAACACTAATCATTAGGAAAAAAAGACATCTTATATTTGAATAAGAATTGAATAGAACCATTCAGTTGTTAAATAAGCCACAAAAAGGGCCAGAATTTAAGAATTTTAAGGTATATTTTCAGTATAACAAGTCAACAGGACTTGTTGCATTTCTAAATGATCCATTTTGTTCAAATTCACAAATTGATCTGACATTTCTACTTGCCTATGGGCAATACTTTGGACACAAAATACTAAAAGGTTTAAAGAACCTGCAAGATATGCACTCTTCCTAGACGGCAGACAATAGGTGTTAATCTCTGTACAAATCAATAGTTCAGGTTTTATGGTTGCCATAAAATGATCCCCCATGGGAAAGATTCCATTAAATTACAATTAAATATTACCAAACTTGTATGTATGCTACACAGATATGGCGAATATTTAAAGAGTTTAAAGAGCCTTTCCTTTTTGTAACATTTCCATGTTGATAATAATATTCTTAGAAAGATAATGAAACACAGCCATTAATTATAAGTGTTTTCTTAAGGTTCATTCATCTATACAGTGTCATCATTGATAAACTTTAAATACCATGTTACATTATGATCTAGAGTAAGAGAAGGAAACGTTACTATAAAAACGGATTATCAAAAATAAAATACCAAAAGAACACATTGCACTTTAAATTTGCATATAATTTGCCATAATAATGTTAAAGTAGTTTGATTACTCACACGTAATACTGTAGATCACTAAATTTTCACGACACCTTATTTTCGCAAGATAGTCATTGACTCTTGATTAGCGAGACAAAATTTTCACGAATTGTGGTTATTGCTCTATATAATCTTAAGGAATACTTTCACGGAGAATTAAATTTTCGCGCGCACACTGTCTCGCGTAATTACGCGAAAAAATAAAGTTCTCGCGAATAAAAAGTGATTTACAGTAAGTTCTTTATCTTCTGAATTATTTTTACAACCTATATTCATGTCGTAATATTTCTTTTTTTTAATTTCAAGAAGCTATCAGTCTGAGAAGAATGAAAATCAGAACAGTTTATTCTTACTGTAAAATCAAAAAATTTTGAGGGGATTAAATTTTCGTTGTTTTTGAGGATTAAAGAGACCCACAAATTCATGTCCACCATGAAATGTAAAATGTTACAAACATAACTACTCAATAATTCTTCATCCTGAAATCATATACCCATGAACCAAGAGTTTTTCCTCAAACCACGAAAATTTGAACTCATGAAAATATGTGACTTCACAGTAACAGAAAATTCTGTTTTATCATTGGATATGGTATTCATTTCACTTAGGAGACAGCTAGAGTTTTTTTTTCACTGTACAAACACAAGCAAAAGTACAACCACGTCTCACTCATATAATAAATCCTATACTCAACAACAATTCATTGAATATCTTCTATTTATCACTGCTTATAGATACAATTCCAAGCAGCTACTTAAAATTGCATTTTCTACTTTCTATCATACATACCTGGAGAGTTGACGGTTTCCTTGACATTAACAGCAACAAACGGGTCGAATGGTTCTGATTTGGTGACCGTCTGCCCTTTATCCACCTGTAGAAGTTTGACGCGGATAAACCCTATCCCCGGCATGCTGGTCTGGATGTACTCTCTTTATTACGATTCTTTACTTTCCACCTAAAAATATAAATCCCATTATGAATATTCATAACCAATAAATTTTTTCTTTCTACAGCATCTTTCCATTATAGATATATTTTTATATTTGTTGAAGTATATTGTGTGTCATTGTTTTCTCTTGTTTATAAAAGATTATTGCAAAACATACACAATCCTTAATAAATGATTTAAATTACATTGCTTACATTCATTTATCCTTAATATACAGATCTCCACCATACACAAAACTACATCACATTTTGGTTTCTATATTCATTTATACTAAAATCATTCATGCTAACTATGTAATACAAACATAATTATACAGATGCTATTTCCCAGCTAAAAAGCTGACAATTTTGTCAACTGTCTAAACCCAGGACAAATCTGTTTCATTGATTTTTCGAACAACCTGTGAATATAACTGGATATGATGCCATAGTCTTCCAACTATGATAGATTTTTAAAGGACTTGTTTTTTATCATATCATAAAGATCTAACATTTCAAAATTTAAACCGAGAAATGATGCATTTTCAAATGTACAGTAAAACATGCTTACAGCTAACAAGCTTATAATGAATTTACACTTATAGCAAAGTGATTTTCGTTCCATGTGACTGTAAAAGTATATTGTACACTTAACTGATATAACAAATTATGCTTATAATGAACCAAACATTTTTGTCCCTGCATGGCACTTGGTAAAATAAATATGTTTTGCTGTACCTGTGTTTCCTAATGCTGTATTGTATTGCTGAATCACAAAACGAGGATTATAATTAAATCACGCTAATAAAGTTTCATACACTGAAACTACATGAAAGTTGCTGTTAAATATGGCAAGATATAGTGACATATATAATACGATGAAATCATTCCAGATATTAGTTAATTGGTCTCTGAAGTCTTTAAAATAGGTTAGCTTTATTAAGGAGGCTGGGGGGTCAACAAATTAACCACCAGATTTAACTTATTTTTTTTTAGATACAGTATCTTAAGCTGTCAACTATCATTTGGCAAAGAAAAAAATCATACATTTTAGTTTTAAAATTTGATCATTTTTGTATATCTTTATATGGAGCTCTTCTTTTAAAGGAGATAGAAATAGTCTGAAAATGGCTGCCACCCCCCAGCCTCTTTAACCTGGATATTTGACCAAGCTATCATAATCATCAAGATGTACAGATGTCAATTTTGCTTTGAGCTATTTATAAGCCCACATCATGCACATAGGAAACAAATGGATTGGTCATTGCTAAACTATGTATCTTCATCATGTTCATTATTATTATATAACTTTACATGTACTATACAATCACATTCAGGAATTCTGAATTTGTAAGTTTAGTTAACTTTCATCAAAATGGCAGTATTAAGTTCCAATTTGAAATCCAAGAATTAAAAAAAAACCAACAGTTACAAATAGCTTACATGTATCCTTCAAATATGAATAATTCACCTTTATATCACAATAATGATGATCAAGTCTTCACAAACATATAATCACTACAAATCTCTGTCTGAAAGCATTATACTGATCTCTACTGTAAATGTGAAGGAAAAAACACAACCCAGACTGATAACTTAAACTTCATCACATGCACACCCACAGGTAGGTAAACCTGTTGACATTATATTACAGGTAAGAATGATTCCAGTCCAGGAAGTCAAATCAACCCAGCCCATTCTCTGTGTGGGCATGTTTTATCTCAAAAAAAGGGAGAAAATTTAAAACACTGAGTCTCAGACTGACATCAAATTCACTAAGCTTGTTAATACTATGAACTTTACGATATGAAGATAAAACATTTTTTTTGGTTAAAAACTATTTGTATTTTTCTAATGTAACAGGAAAAGATAAATTCTATTTAATCCAGCTGGGAAATAAACATAATTTTATCAAAGTACATATTTGTACTTGTAAAGTGCATACATTTTATCTTGCATGTACAGGATGCCCATGGGCCTTAACAGTCACCTGTAGAAATTACAGCAATTATGTTGTACAATGACAACTTTGATAAGTATATTGTAACAGTTAGTACAGGAATTTATGAACCTATAAGATATTTGAGTACACCCCACCCTACCCCTACTGTTGTCTTCTATATGCACCTTGTATAGATGGTTTTCCTATGACATATTTTGTCTCAGAGTTATTCCCCTTAGCCGCCATCTTGTAGGGCAAAGCAGTGAATTTTTCTCTTTGAGCAACCAATTTTAAACCTGCATGCCAGAAATATATGGGGGGAAATATTTACAATCTTAAAATTATGATTTAACAGAGGCTTTAAAAAAAGTATATTCATAAGAAAAGTAGTGTTATCTTTACCTCAGTAATCAGTATATCAAATTGAACTTGAATGTTGCCCTACAATATGGTGGCCATGGGGAATAACTCTTGCTTAAATCACCTCAAGGAAAACCATCTATAGAGAAATTTTATAGATGAAATGCTTTTACATTGTAAATACTAGTTACCCCCCTTCAACCCAGGGGCCTGAACCTTTTGTTGGAAGATGGGATTAGGAAATAAAAACTTTAAATACAATAAAGTTCAAGAACTCTTCTTGTTGATAATTTGGTTGTTCATATAAAAAAATATATACAGTATCTCAGCAACACTCAAGTTATTATATTTCTCAGTACATGTACGATGTATCACTTTTATAAGGAACAGCTTGTCAATAAGTTTATCACCTGCAAAGTACATGATCTGAACATGATTGAGAAATATGTACTCACTATAAATACATCCAAGAGCAAACTGTAATTACAAAGGGATGGACCAATGCTATAAATTCATCTCAAACACTCATATATTGCATATATTGCATATGTCAATCACAGCATTGGAACCAAGCTTTCCCTTGATGATTTATATACACCAGTTTTGTCCAGATACAGAGCTTACAGTTGTTTGGGAATAAATATGCTCCATTCTTCTTCCATTATCTTTTTCAATCTCCCAGAAACTCAACACCCATGATTGCAAAAATAATCCAGGGTGCATTAATCATGCAAAGTTGGTCCAGGTAGTTGTAATTATGTCAACTAGCTAGGTTTTTATGTTGAAAAGTGGATTTAGAATTGGAATCAACAGATATTTTCACAATTTTTAAAGTGTCTATTGTATACAGTAAAACTCGGTTATAGCGAAGTCACTGCATGGGGCCTATGAAATTACTTCGCTATAACCGTAATTCGTTATATTTATAGCCACTAACCAAAAGTTTAGGGGTCATACAAAACGTTAATTTAGAATACTATTACTAATGCAATATCTGTTTATGTCAAAATCAAATCATGACAGTATTGAGATTTACTCAGTCTTATCAATGAAAGAATAGGTGACATGGACAGGTAGAGTGATAATTGTTGTCACACCTGTCGTGCCTCATGTATAGATAATTAAGCAACTTAATTGACTTAAGAGATTAGTTAATCAAACTTCAAAGGGATTAACAATTACATGATAGCCAAGCCATCTGGTAAATCTCAATACTGTCATGATTTGATTTTGACATAAACAGATATTACTTTAGTAATAGTATTCTAAATTAACGTTTTGTATGACCCCTAAACTTTTGGTTAGTGGCTATATATTCGTATAAGAAATTCATTGAAATTATTTGGTTGGGAATCCAAAATTTCTTCATTATATCTGTGTTCGTACTAAACAAGTTTTACAGTATATTAATTAGCTGAACCTCTCCATTACATGCTGAACACGGTGTCAATCTTGAGACTTGGATATTTTACCAGACCCACATCCAACTGCAGTAACTGGTCACAATATGCAGACCAAAACCTGCTCCTTGGTGCAATCCATGCTCCTGATGGTGCTTGTATTAAGGTTTGCTACATATGTTATAGTTCAAACATCCTCTAGCAAGGGAGATCACTTTAAGGGGCCATACAAACACAAAGAATGGCAGCAGCTAAGGTCTGAGTATTTAAATCAATGGGTCCTGGTTTTAATTAATAATATCCAAAACATAAAAGTCCTCTCCAGTGAACTGGGGTAAAAAATAATGTAAACTGGGAGAATTAATGATACTACAGAAGATATATTAGCAGGTTATTGAGCTACACAGTAGGAAGAACCAATTTTTCCTGAAAGAATAAATATTTCAACCTACAGTGTCTTGGTAGATGTTCAAAAAAAAATTGCATTTACTCTGTTGGGAAATAAAGGAAAATTGAAAATTAGTTTACATTGAACATGATGAAATGTAACAAGAACAGGGTAAGAAAAATCCAAAATCAGAGCTGAATTAATCCTCAGACAACATTAACTGATTGATGGTCCAATGAAATAGGCTCTTTCTGATTATGTTTTTATTTATAATAAATTAAACACCTCCTCTTGCAATTCCTCGTCATGTTACACATATTACTGATACATAGTAATTGTAGGAATATTATTAATTATGAACAGATACATAGATGACCTGTATAGTATAAACATAGGTAATCAGAGATTACAGAGCTCACCTCAACGAATGTTGTCTAAGGCAAAGTCACACAATTAACCAACAAAAAGTATACATTCCAAAAATGAAAATATTTTTAAAAGCAATTTTGATGATACTTTGAAATAGACCTACATAAAAAATTTAAACTACTTCTTCTTCATGAAAATGTAATGAAAATCCAGCATCTGAAGCAAATTTGAGAGTTTTCATCTCTTGATGCAGCATTTGTGCAAGTTTGGTTTATATAATGTTATATAAGCCTTATAGTTTTTGGTAATAGACCTGCAACCATAACTTTTACCTTGTCTATTATCTGAAAAATGTATGTCCAATTCAGCATCCGAAGCAAGTCCATTAGTGTGCATCCTTAGATGTATCATCCATGCAAGTTTGCTCATTATAGGGCTCATAGTTTTTTGGAAATGAAACATGCATTAAAACTAACATTTTCACTCATCCACAAAAAGTAGGTCAGATTCAGCTTCCGAAGCAAGTCTGGAAGTATGCATCCTTAGATGTATCATCTATGCAAGACTGG